TGGGAGGGGGAGGGGCAATGCTGAAAGGACACTACTGAGGACACAGATTATTGTGTCAATGTAACACTCAGATTGTTAATTGTAGTGTGGTTGTGTAAGAAAATATCCTTATTCTGAGGAAACGTGTACAGAGATACTTCGAGATACATTACATGGAGTGGGGAAAGAGAGGGCCATGAACTTGCTGTGAGAATGGCAAATGATGGGACAAATGGGTCACAATAGGTAGAGAGGGTTTGCAGTTGGTCTTTGTACTATGTTGGCATTTCTTCTGAAAGCTTGAAATTATTTCCAAATAAAAAGTAGGGGTCAAAAAGATTGGGATTTCCTTTTCTTTAGATAAGGTGTTGATTAATCCACTCAAAAATTTTAAATTATTGTGAGTGAATTCCAATTTTTGTATACTTTGTCCCAATTTTATTTTTCTAGAAACATCCTTGTCTTCTGAGTTTTCAAATATATTAGTATATATAGCTGTTAATATTTTATAATTTTTAAAAATATGTTTTGCTTGTGGTTATTTCATGCTTTTAGAACATATTTTGTTAATTCACATCACCAACTCTCCTTTACCAGTTTTTCCAGAGGTTTGCCTTTTTAATATTTTCCTTGGAGAACCAGCTTTTGGTTTTAATATTTTGGTTTGGTTTTTATTTCAGTGATTTCTGTCCTTAAGGGTCTTCCTTTTTTCCTTAGATTTAAACTGTCCTTTATCTTGAGTTGAAAGAGTAGCTCTTCTGTATTCGGTTCAGGATAGTTTTCCTGCTGCTGTTTTACCTGCATCCTACCAGTTTTGACCTCTAGTTTTCTGCTCTAGTATTTTGTAATGTGCCCTATATTTTCCTCTTTAACAAACAAATTATTCTGCTTTATAATTTAGTTTACAGACTTTAGAAGGTGGTTAGCTGTTTGTAGTGTAAATGACACTCAAATGCAAATTTTACAAGACTTTTAATTACATCTACTCTAAAAGTTAATACCTTTAAATATGAATGGTGAATCCATGCCACATTAGCAGGGGGCTGACAACAAGAGAAAATTTTTTGAGTTTGTGTGTTTGTGTGAGGGCGTGGTGGATGGGTGGTTGAGTTGGGGAGGTAGTGGTAGTGGTCAAGGCAGGAAATGGGGCTGATGGGAAGAGGAATGAAAAGTGATTGAATTTTTTTCCTGCTGTGTGCTACAATACAGTTCCCCTAAGAACAAGTATTAATTAAACACCTAATGTTTGCAGGTTTTGGCTATGTAGGGAGGGGCTAAAGTAGTTAGGAATATGAAATTGATTCTCAAAGAGTTTAAGTGTAAGAGGATATACTTGGCTCACAGTCAGTTTAATCAATAGTAATAGAGTCTGAGGGGAGAGTGTCAGGGGCTCACAGACTGCCATTTATCTTGCTTGATGTGATTTCTGGTGCTGAATTTCTTAAAAGTTTTGAAAGTAATTTCATCAGGCTTGGGGTTTTCACAGTACAGTTTTTGAAAGTTGCTTCAGTAGTATGGAATCAGATCCATTTAGTCATGCAGTAAAGTGACCTCAGCTATTTTAATGTGACCCACTGATTCTTAATGATGGGGCATGCATATCTTATTCACCTGGGAGAACTTGTTGACAGTAAAGACTGCATTATAGAGATTCATTCTTCTTCAGTGTAGTTGGTGTGGGTTTGTGTTATTTTACTTTGGTGATTTAAAATTTCTTGACAGTTCTTAGTTGGTGATCATTTTTATCTATTTTAGTCTTTTTTCTTATACACAAAATTAAGGATATCTTTGCAGGTCTGTCTTTAATTAGCATCTGTCTTTATATAGGGACTGATACATTAGAGGTAAACAGTGATGCTATTGATAAAGCTATAGGGTAGCTTTATCAATAGGGTAGATAAGCTAATAATGTATTGCACACTAATGTCAGGTGTACTAGGGTTCTTCAAAGAAATAGAACCCACTTGATATGTAAAGTGAGATGTTGGGTCACACGATTATGGAATCTGAGAAGTTCTACTGTCTTAAAGCTGGAGACTGAGGAAACCCAGTGGTATAATTCAGATCAAGTCTGAATACCTATTAACCAGTGAAGCAGAAGATATAATCCCAGTAAAAGGGCTAGAGAACATGAGACGCCCCAGCTCAGATAGTGAGGCAGGGGAAAAAGGGCAAATTCTTCTGATCAGTCCCTTAAAGGATTAGGTGATGCCCACTCGTATTGGGGAGGACAGTCTACTGAGTCCACTGATTCATATGCTTGTTGTTGTTCAGTTGCCAAGTTGTGTCTGACTCTTTGCGACCTCATGAACTGCAGATTTCAATGCTAATCTCACCCAGAAAGCTCCTAACTTTGGATAATGGAATTTGATTATGTGATAGTAAAAATAAGTCTCAGGAGATTTAATGTCTTTTGGCTGTCTTCACACTAACTGTGAATATTGGGGTTTATATATACACATATACACATGCAGAATTACTGATGATAAAACTAGTATATGCTCGTAGTAGAAATTTAGAAAGTATAGAAAAGAATGAAAAAAATAAAGGGGCATAATCACCAAAATTCTAACACCCGTAGTTTTGGATATCTGAAACTTTTTGCTGTCCCAAATATGTGTATATATACACTGACAAATACAACTACAAACACCCATGTGACAATCAATGCAAAAGTCTGTCAATAAGGAAATTTTAATAAATAACGATATATCTGTATGAAAATTTGAATAAGTACTATATTCTTATGGCTCAAAATTCAAAAGACTTAGGGTATTAAAAAGTGAAAAATACCCATCTATCCAGTCACTCAGTTTTCCACCCTGGAGGCAACCAAGGTGGTGCTTTTTTTCCCTTTTGTTTTTAATTCTTTCAGAGAAATTTATGCACGTACAGGTGCCTTTAGTATACATGTGCACACATAGTAGCATACTATATGCATATATTATTATGTACTTTGCTCTTTTATTGGATTTTAATTTTTATCAAAATGATGTTTTCATAACGAAAAGTCAGATAGCTCTACAAGGATTTTTGTTTATTTGCTTTTGCAAAGAAGTCAGTCCTTCATCCCTCTTTCCTCATTTTTCCTTTTCAGGGAAACCACTTTGATCTTTTAGCTGATGAATTTTGTTTACTTCTTTGTCTCTAAAATAATTGTTTTAAGTCAGTTTTAGGTATGTTACTGCAAATGATCAGATTCTCTTGGTAATATAGTTCAGTCATAATTTGGATTAGATCAGTATTCATGACTATAAATGATACAGCTGAGCCATGTAGTAAAACATGGTTACTTTTCCTTTTTCTGTTCTACTTTTCCATTTTCATGGGGCTAATATTTGACTTGTGTTTTCTTATTTTTCTCTTTAATTACAAATTGTCTGCTAGTTATGTAGATTTGTTCTTGAGATTTTCAGATACTCCTCTAAGTTGTGCTGTTAATTCCATCCTCCAAAAGAATCTTCCAGAGCTTCTGATGACCTCCAGTTTAGTTTCGGTTGCCCTCTGTGTACATACAGCTGTCATCCACGGAATTCTCTTTGCAGTCACCCTGGGAATTCCCTTTTGCTCTTTCATCTCACTATTATATTGTAATTATTGTGGTTTCTTAGATGTCTCATTTCCCCACATTAAAATCTTCTTGACTATTCTGTTTATATAAACTTTAGAGTCAGTTTATCTGATTTTTTTAAAGCTTTCTTTTTTGCAGCTTCAGTGTGTGGTTTTCAAGTCTTCCATATAACCTTGAATTGTGTAAAATTGACCTTTTTTTTCAACTTAATATCAATTTCAAATATTTTTACTATTAAGAGTATAGAACACGTATGTGTATTTGTGTAGAACATTTCTCGCTAAGTTTATATTTGGTATTTTATTGTTTCTATTATAAATGGGGACTTTTCTGTTAACTCTTATAACTGGTGGTGATGATTTGAGTAGACTATCTGTTGATTTCTTTCTTAATTTTATACCTAGAAATATTATTTTATACCCAAGCCTCCTTTTAACAGTTACTTTTTAGTTTTCCAACCATATAAACTCATCTGCAATTAATGATAATTTTACTGTATCCTTTCCCGTTTTTATACTGCCTTTGTCCTCGTATTATGTAATGCTAGTGATAATGGACATTCTTGTCTTATTTCAGATCTAAGTAGGGGTATTTCGGTTTCTTCACTGATTATGATAGTGACTCTTAGGCTTATGTGTTATGCATGTATTATGTATTCCCTATGTTAAATATCTACTTATTACTATTTTAGTGACTTTCAAAATCTTGATGGCTGCATAAATTTATCAAATGTTTTTTGGTGATGATAATCTTGAGTTTTTGTTCCTTGATATTCTTGCATAGTAAAGTAAAATATATTTTAAACCATTTTGGAATATCAGAGCTGAACTCTACTTGACCATAACAGTGGTGTGTTAAATCTTTGGTATGTTAATGGAGAGTTTTTCTTTTTTATTTTCTTTAGAACTTTCGTGTCTGATTTCATGCGTATTACTAATCTATTGTATTTATATATATGTGCTGTTTCCATTAATTTTTGATATCATTGTTATGTTCCCTATAAAATAATTTTGAAGGTTTACTTCTATACTTTGAAATGGTTTAGATAGCTTTAGCATTATCTGTTCTTAAATATTTGGTAGAATTTAGAATATCAGTGGCATCTGGTGCTTTTGAGGAGGTTAGCTGTTTGTCAACTTTCTTTGTTCCTTCTGTGATAATTGTCAGATACTCTTATTATTGTGAAGTATTTCCTGTTTTACCTTTGTGAGATTAATGATGCCTTACTTGGAGTGCTGATAACACTGTTTATATTTTTCTTAGGGTATTAAATAAAAAACCTTTGTCTTATGTACATTTGTCTTCATCATTAAATTGTCAAATTGTTAAGAATATTAGGATAAGAACCATCTGTTTGTCTATTGCCTCAAATTCTAGTTCACGGTATGGAATATGTTGATTTAACAACCTTATTTTTTTTTTTTTCATCGTGACGGTGGATGTTTTACAGGCTTCCCAGTTGGCATGTGTGTTGTAAAGAGAGTTCTTCAGCTTCATCTTATTACTCTCAAGATGACAGTTGTGCACTAGAAAATGAAGATGTACAATCCCAGAAAAAGGTACCTTAAATAAAGATGAAGTTGTAATTTGTGTATTAACTTTCTGTCTTCTCAAAACATTTGGAATAAAGATATTTCAAAATACTATGACATTATTATTGATGGAAATTTGTAATTTTCTTTGCTATACTCTGAGGAGTTACTTAGGTAATTCTGAAATTAACCTAAATATTTATTTATTCTTATTGCTTGTATTTGGAATATTGTAGTCCTACAGTAAGGAGAAAAATAGTGCCTGTTCAGAGAACTGAAAACTAGGACTCTCTATTTAATACTTTAACTACTTAAAGTGTTTCTAAAGAAACCTGAGTCTTATAAATTAAAAACTATTAGAAATGAGAACTATAGGGAGAATCTGAAATTAATGGCTCTGTACTTTGTTTCATATATTTGGGTAGAGTGAATAGACAGAGTCCAGAAAATCTGATGGTCTCTAAATAGTTTATTATTTTATCATTTTAAATGGTAAAAGGTGATTATTGACTTCAACTAGATTTGGCTCTCCCTCATCCCCCCTGAAAATCAATGTACTTATTTTAAATTAGAGGAATAATTTACATACACTGTAAGATATTCATCTTTGTATCCCCTTCCCATCCCCAAAGGAACCAAAATTTGCTGTTTCTTATTAAAACACTCAGACCATTTTCTTTGTGTATAGATAGCTCACAAAGTAATGTTTTAATTTTTAGTAAGATGCCATAAATTTTGCACAGGTAACTTCCCCTCTTCCCCAGCAATATCTTGTGGATACCTTTGTATGTTACTGTATTATTCTGAATAGCTACATTTTTATTCCATTATATGGATATGTTAAATTTATTTAAGCATTTTTTTAACTGACAGGCTCTCAGCTGTGTTTATACGTGCATGTTTGTGCCTGCATTTGTGTGTGTATGGATGCATAAACTTTTAATTACATGCTTGGGTGTTTTCTTTTTTTGGCATGATGTTTAGAATGGATTTAAATTTCTGAGTTATACAGGATCTGTTTCAAGGATGGAGCAGTTAAAATTTTGAAGACTCTTGCTGGATACCTCTCCAAAAAAAGTATAATTGTATGCTTCAATGCACAATCTTTAAGACTTAAAGCTAATCTCTTCTTTGATGAGAAATAAGACTTAAATGTTGTTAAGAATGAATTTAAGCAAAGCATTAAGGAAGGGGAAATAGACATTCTTTCAGTAAACATTTGGTTACCTATTATGTTCTTTACGGGCTTAGAATATGATGGATATGAACTTTCAGAATATGATGGATATGAACTTTCCTTTTATGAAACTTATATGCTAGAATATACATTTAAAGACAATATATCTGAAATTCTAACTTAACAGTATCAAAAGAGATGACACAAAAAGCTGTAAGCATATATGTTACCACATATGTACTGATCCTTTTTTTTTTTTGTACTGATCTTAACTGTGTGTCTAACATACAGTGCTGGGTGGTAGGACCAAAGTGCTTATTAAGAAATGAAATGTAGTGTATATTTGGAAGGCAGCTATGCTCATTACTATACTGCTAGTGTACACACGTAGTATACATTTGAAGTGAAGCAGTAAGGAGAGTAATGCATGAAGGTAGACAATAAGCATGGAAACAAAATTATTAAAACCACAATAAAGTGTTTTGGTTGTATAGAAAGACAGTCTTAATATTGCTTCAGGACTATTTCGTGAAACAATTTTATCAGTTGGCCTTTTCTTTGTTGCAACATAGGATGAAAGAGGGGGACCTGTCAGTGCTGAATTATCGGGAAAAGTAGCTTCAAGCTTACCTGTTCCTCCAGAAGAAAACAAATTAAAAGATGAATACATTGTGAATGTACAGGTAAGATTTATTACTTTGATTTTTTTAATGATATGGCCTTTAAAACCACTTCACAACATAGAATACCTTTATTTGGTCAACATATTGTGTACTTTTTTTTTCCTTTCTTTTTGTGATACCATGCAACTGGCTTAATAGTAGTCACCTGGTAGGTACTGTTTTTGAGAAAATTCAAAATTACTGATGTAATAATAATGAATGGGACCATTTTCCTTGTAGTATAGGTTTGGTTGTAAATCTTTCTTTTTAGGTTCCATTTTGACTCAGTATAATTTATCTTCTCTCAGGTTCTCAGATGTCAGGGGACATTTTTTCTGACTTAAAGTATTTGTATGTAGAATACAGATTATTTTGATAGCAAAATTTTATCACTTAGTGTGGAATATTAATGAATAATCATTAACTAATAGATTGAGTATGTTTTTTCCCCTTTTCTCTCATATTATATCCTAAATATTATTTTTCATTCTGTATACCAGATTTTATGAAATATTGAAAACTAGACCAGAGTGTAAGTTGATCAAAATGCTGCTGCACCTGGAAACCATTTAATTCAGGAATAACTGAAGAAACTGGGGATATTTGGTCTGGAAGGAAGAAGGACTAAGGAAAAACTAAATATCTTAAATATTAACAAAAATAAATTTCAGCTTAAAAGGAGGGGAAATGCTCTTAAATAAAACACAACCAGAGTTATTTTATGATTTAATTGGGTTATCTAAGGAGATATATACATTTCATTTTAATGAATTTTGGAGGACGTTTGGAAAAAATTTGTGCATAAGAGTAAGGGAAAAGTGATCTCTGTAGCCCTTCAGTTATATGAGTATCCAAAACAGTCTTGCCATTGTTCATTTTCCTGAATTTTTATCGTGGTATCCTCTTGTTCAAATACATTGAAGTGTTTAGTGCATCTTTAGAGACCTGTGCTGTTGAGTACAGTAGCCACTGTACAGAGCTCCCTGGGCTCTTGTACATTGGAAATGTGGATAGTCCTGGTTGAGATTTGCTGTAAGTATAAGATTCACATCGATTTTGGAGACTTAGTATTAATAAAAGAGAAAAGAGAGTGTAAAGTATCTTACTAATTTTTTATGTTGACTGATAATGCGATATTTGATGATAATGGTTCTTTTCTCAAAACCTCCATCATAAATGCAAACTATTTGTATTCCTTTGCTAATTTTTCATTCCAGTGTAAATTCTTCAAATGATCACATTTTATTTGATATTCTTATTTTATAAAGAATTTTTATTTTATATCACATTCTCTATTTTATATTCTTTTACATTTTTATTCTTTTATATTTATATTTTTATATTTATATTCTTCTATATTTTTATTTTATATCACCTTCTTTATTTTATATTCTTCTGACTCTGCCTCTTTTCTTTCTGCTGCTGTACTGGCTTCTGCTTTTCTTCAGAGTCCTAGTTTTTCTGGTTCATAGTAGTCCTTAGATTCTCTTTTCTTTGAACTGAGCATGTGTACCTCTCATTTGATACTCAGTAAGTATTGTCTGCTGTGTGCTAGGTACTAGTACGTGCTAGGCTCTAAGAGCATGAAAATCAAGAAAACATAGTCCTTACTCAAGACATTTATAATGGAATTGAAGAAGAGAAATAAATAAGGGCAATTAAGGTGTTATAGATGCTGTGATTAAAGTCTATACAGATAACAGTGGAGGCATAGAAGAAGGGGAATGGCTAATTCTATATGGAGTTGGTTGGTGGGGGGAAGTACTTATAGGAGGTTTTCAAACATAAGTAGGTATTAAGTATGTTTCAGATTATGTTTTGGAAGAGTGAAACAGCATACAGGCCTTAAAAGAGCAGCCAGAATCATGTATTGCTTTGTAATGTTACTTATAGATGCCTTGTACTGTTATTTGTTGATATACATTATCTTCTAAACTGCTCAGGGACAAAAAACTATGTGGTACACTATTTTATACTATTTTAATATATACTATTATATATTAAATACTAGTATATAGTATTTTATACTAGTAAATAGTAATACTATTTAATATATACTGTTTTATATATTTACATAGGATTTCTGTGTTGCTGTAGGATACATTAAGGTAATTATAATAAGAGAGACATTTTGTAGGTCCTGATACAAAATAGGAAAGAAGAAAGACAAGCTGCTTTGTCCTGGTTTATAAAATGCCATGACAAATCTGTAGAGCCTGTATTGTAATAGGAAATATATTCCTTAGGATGGTCATGTTAGAAGAAGAGATTTTTGTAAAAGTACTTTTTTAGTGAACATTATATTGTTACTTTTGAGACATACTTTTTATAATAGCCTGCTTCAAATAAAGAGAGAATTTGTTAATCCCAACATTAAATATAACTGACTTTTTTAGAAACAGGATACAGAGTCAAAAAAGTTAAGTTCATCTGTGACTGAGACACTCCCTACAGTTGATCTTCATGAAGATTCTTCCAGTATACTTGTGGACAGTGAACATACTGAAAATATTTCCAGTTCATCTACCTCAGAGATCACTCCAGTCTCAAAGCTTGAGTAAGTCATTACAAAGAAAGAATATCATTAGATAATGACAGAAAAATTTCTTTGATACTTAAATTTGACCTTTATGCTATATAGCAGACCTATATAATAATGCATGTGTTTTGTGTTTTTATTTTCTAATGCAATGATCTTATAGCATAATGAGTATTTATTCTTCTGTCTAACTCAGGGAAGTTGATTGTATCCCAGCCATGAATTATCTGCATAATATAGGTAAAGTGAAATTCTTGTTTAAGAAACATGGTACTTAACTGAATAATCTTTCCTATAATTATCAAAAATTCCAATGTCAGAGTATTCATTTCCATTAACTATTACTGTGTCATTCCATTCATCGTATGTCTTTGTATCATAGCTAACTTTTTCAGGCTTGATAATAAATATTCAGAATATTTAGATATATTTGTAATATTTTGGTTTCTTTTTCTCTCTTTTTAAAAATGTTTTATACCATTTTTAAAGGCTACTTTCCATTTTCAGTTACTAACAGAGTATTGGCTATATTCCCAGTGTTTATACTGTGCACTGGAGCCTGTCTTATAGCCAGTACTCATGCCTCCCACTCCCTACCCCTGCGTTGCTCCTTCCTGCAGAAAAGGAAAGATCTACCCATTTGAATGCAGAGTTCCAAAGAAAAGTAAGGAGAGATAAGAAAGCCTTCCTTAGCAATCAATGCAAGAATTAGAGGAAAGCAATACAATGGGAAAAACTGGACATCTCTTCAAGAAAATTAGAGATACCAAGGGAACTTTTCATGCAAAGATGAGCACAATAAAAGGACAGAAATGGTATGGACCTAACAGAAGCAGAAGATATTAAGAAGAGATGGCAAGAATACACAGAAGAACTATACAAAAAAAGATCTTCATGACCCAGATGATCACAATGGTGTGATCACTCACCTAGACCTAGACGTCCTGGAATGTGAAGTCAAATGGGCCTTAGGAAGCATCACTACGAACAAAGCTAGTGGAGGTGATGAATTCCAGCTGAGCTGTTTCAAATCCTGAAAGATGATGCTGTGTAAGTGCTGCACTCAATATGCCAGCAAATCTGGAAAACTCAGCAGTGGCCACAGGACTGGAAAAGGTCAGTTTTCATTCCAATCCCAAAGAAAGGCAATGCCAAAGAATGTACAAACTACTGCACAATTGCACTCATCTCACACGCTAGCAAAGTAACGCTCAAAATTCTCCAAGCCAGGCTTCAACAGTATGTGAACCGTGAACTTCCAGATGTTCAAGCTGGATTTAAAAAAGGCAGAGGAGCCAGAGATCAAATTGCTCACATCCGCTGAATCATGGAAAAAACAAGAGAGTTCCAGAAAAACATCTATTTCTGCTTTACTGACTATGCCAAAGCCTTTGACTGTGTGGATCACAACAAACGGTGGAAAGTTCTGAAAGAGATGGGAATACCAGACCTGGAATACCAGGTCAGGGAGCACCTGACCTGCCTCTTGAGAAACCTGTATGCAGGTCAGGAAGCAACAGTTAGAACTGGACATGGAACAACAGACTGGTTCCAGATTGGGAAAGGAGTACGTCAAGGCTGTATATTGTCACCCTGTTTATTTAACTTACAAGCAGAGTGCATCATGCAAAATGCTGGGCTGGATGAAGCACAAGCTGGAATCAAGATTGCTGGGAGAAATATCAATAACCTCAGATATGCAGATGACACCACCCTATGGCAGAAAGTGAAGAAGAACTAAAGAGCCTCTTGATGAAAGTGAAAGACGAGAGTGAAAAAGTTGGCTTAAAGCTCGACATTCAGAAAACTAAGATCATGGCATCTGGTCACATCACTTCATGACAAATAGATGGGTAAACAGTGGCTGACTTTATTTTTTTGGGCTCCAAAGTCAGTGCAGATGGTGACTGCAGCCATGAAATTAAAAGATGCTTGCTCCTTGGAAGAAAAGCTGTGACAAACCTAGACAGCATATTAAAAAGCAGAGACATTACTTTGCCAACAAAGGTCTGTCTAGTCAAAGCTATGGTTTTTCCAGTAGTCATGTATGGATGTGAGAGTTGGACTATAAAGAAAACCGAGCGTTGAAGAATTGATGCTTTTGAACTGTGGTGTTGGAGAAGACTCTTGGGAGAAGAGTCCCTTGAACTGCAAGGAGATCCAACCAGTCCATCCTAAAGGAGATCAGTCCTGAATATTCATTGGAAGGACTGATGCTGAAGCTGCAACTCCAATTCTTTGGCCACCTGATGCAAAGAACCAACTCTTGGAAAGACCCTGATGCTGGGAAAGATTGAAGGCAGGAGGAGCAAGGGATGGCAGAGGATGAGATGGTTGGATGGCATCACTGCCTCAATGGACATCAGTTTGAGTAGCCTCTGGGAGTTGGTGATGAGGGATAGGGAAGCCTGGAGTGCTGCAGTATGTGAGGTTGCAAAGAGTTGGACACAATTGAGGTAAACTGAACCCTCCCCATTGGTAGCCACTAGTTTGGTCTCTATATTTGTGCATCTGCTTTTTTTGGTTAACATTCACTAATTCTATTTTTTAGATTCCACATATAAGTTGTCTCATACAGTATATATCTTTCTCTGACTTATTTCACTTTTAGCATAATGCCCTCCAAGTCCACCCATGTTGCTGCAAATGGCAAGATTTCATTCTTTTTTTTTTTTTTGCTAGGTAGTATTCCATTGCCTGTGTGGATATGTATATGACAGCTTCTTTATCCTTTCATCTGTTGGTGAACACTTAGGTTGTTTCTGTGAGTTGGGAATTGTAAATAATGTTGCTGTGAACATTGAGTACATGTATCTTTTCAAATTAGTGTTCTGTTTTTTTCCAGTACATACTCCAAGTGAAATTGCTGGGTCATAATTTTAGTTTTTTGAGAAACCTCCATACTGTTTTCCACAGTGGATGCACCTCCTTACATTCCCACCAGTAGTGTGCTTGGGTTCTCTTTTCTCCATATCCTTGCTGACATTTGTTACTTACTACTTTTTTTTAAAAATTTATTTAGTTTTGGCTGTGCTGGATCTTCATTGCTGTGCATGGGCTTTCTCTCAGTTGCGATGGGTGGGGATTATTCTCTAGCTGCAGTGCATAGGCTTAGGTGCCCCACAGCATAGGGAATATTAGTTCCTGGGTCAGGGATTGAACCCAGGTCCCTCCATTAGGAGGTGGATTCTTAACCACTGTACCACCAGGGAAATCCCTGTAAACTTTTTTTTTTCCCATTATTTTTATTAGTTTGAGGCTAATTACTTTACAATATTGTAGTGATTTTTGCCATACATTGACATGAATCAGTCATGGATTTACATGTGTTCCCCATCCTGATCCCCCCTCCCGCCTCCCTCTCCATCCCATCCCTCTGGGTCTTCCCAGTGCACCAGCTCTGAGCGCTTGTCTCATGCATCCAACCTGGGCTGGTGGTCTGTTTCACTCTTGATAGTATACTTGTTTCAATGCTATTCTCTCAGAACATCCCACCCTCGCCTTCTCCAACAGAGTGCAAAAGTCTGTTGTGTACATCTGTGTCTCTTTTTCTGTTTTGCACATAGGGTTATCATTACCATCTTTTTAAATTCCATATATATGCGTTAGTATACTGTATTGGTGTTTATCTTTCTGGCTTACTTCACTCTGTATAACGGGCTCCAGTTTCATCCCTCTCATTAGAACTGATTCAAATGAATTCTTGTTAATGGCTGAGGATTAATCTCAAAAATATACAAGCTACCCCTGCAGCTCCATTCCAGAAAAATAAATGACCCAATCAAAAAATGGGCCAAAGATCTAAACAGACATTTCTCCAAAGAAGACATACACATGGCTAACAAACACATGAAAAGATGCTCAACATCACTCATTATCAGAGAAATGCAAATGAAAACCTCAGTGAGGTACCATTACACGCCAGTCAGAATGGCTGCTATCCAAAAGTCTACAAGCAATAAATGCTGGAGAGGGTGTGGAGAAGAGGGAACCCTCCTACATTGTTGGTGGGAATGCAAACTAGTACAGCCACTATGGAGAACAGTGTGGAGATTCTTTAAAAAATGGAAATAGGACTGCCATATGACCCAGCAATCCCACTCCTGGGCATACACACCAAGGAAACCAGAACTGAAAGAGACACGTGCACCCCAGTGTTCATCGCAGCACTGTTTATAACAGCCAGGACATGGAAGCAACCTAGATGCCCATCAGCAGATGAATGGATAAGGAAGCTGTGGTACATATACACCATGGAATATTACTCAGCCATTAAAAAGAATTTTCTTTTCAGACTTGCTGGATGACCAGAGTTTTCTCTTTGTGGAAAGGGGATCATTATCTTCTCCATTAATGAGTAGGATGATAGCTCTTCAAAGGATGTTAAGCTCAGTTAAGGGATTAAGAATCTTCAGTCTTTGCTTTTGGTTAAACAAACCATAGAGCTCGTGTCTTTCCGTATTGTGAGGTTTACCTTTTTCTTTAGACTGGTAGCTTTCTTCTTTTGTACTTTTTTAAAGTAACAGATGCCTTTGAGAACCCAATAAAAACTTGGATTCTAGCCCTAGAAATTTGCATAAATCACAGCAACAAATATGCATTAACAGGGAGGGTTTTTGAACGGTCTTGAAGACCGTCTGTAGACCTCAGGGGTGTGTGAACCCCTGAGTTAAGAACTGGTTTAGAGGTACAAGGCTTTGGGGGCAGAACTTTGGTTTGAATCTGGCTCCAGTATTTACCACTGTTAGCTTGAACTGAAGTAAACTAAGCACTTTGAATCTCAGCTTTTTTACTAGATAGAGTGGGGCTGGTACTAACTTGCAAGGTTGTGGAGATTAAATGGAAGAAGCTTCAAAGGTTGGCACATAGTAGGCACTGGATAAGTTACAGCTGAAAAGGAATTACAATGTAAAATCTGAAATGAAATTTAAATATCTATAGTATAAGATGGCCACCATGTATATTTTGTTCAGGCTTCTAACAAACCAAGTTGATTTGAGGGTGTGGAGAAAAGGGAACCCTCTTACACTGTTGGTGGGAATGCAAACTAGTACAGCCACTATGGAGAACAGTGTGGAGATTCCTTAAAAAACTGGAAATAGAACTGCCATATGACCCAGCAATCCCACTCCAGGGCATACACACCGAGGAAACCAGATCTGAAAGAGGCACGTGTACCCCAGTGTTCATTGCAGCACTGTTTATAATAGCCAGGACATGGAAGCAACCTAGATGCCCATCAGCAGACGAATGGATAAGGAAGCTCTGGTACATATACACTATGGAATGTTACTCAGCCTGTAATCTTTTTTATGATAGCCATCTGATAGATATCTCTTTGTGGTCTTGATTTTCTTTTTCCCTAGTGATTAGTGATGTTGAAAGTTTCCTTAATTTAGAAAGTTTCTTGTACTTCTAGCTTCAGCAAGATTACAAAGAACAAAACCCCGTTTTTAAAATAGTATATTAAACATATCCTTTGTCAAATGAGTTAGCTTATATAAAACTTGTAGGACAGTATCTGGCGTAGAGTAAGAATATATGCGTCAGTGAATATAATTTTTATCATCACCGCTATTTTTCTGCCACAGGCACTTTTTAGATACATATTCTTTTCTAGAATATGAAGGACTGGGTTGAAGGAGTTGTACACAAATATGGCACAGTTATCATTTAGGAGTTTGCCCTAGTAAGGGATGAGGGAACAGAAGACATGCTTAGAAATAATGATAGTTTAAAAAAATTTTAAATACCTAGTATTTAAAACTTAGTGTTTAAATACTTAGTATTTAAGCCTAGATACTGTATATCTGAACAGTACATCTTATTTTCTCATTATATTGAACATGATTGTCTAGTGAAAAGAAAGGTAGGGAAAAATATTAAGGTATATATATTTTAAATGAAATTATAAAAGTGCTTTAAGAACTTTAGTGAAGCATTTTGAGATAATAGATGATTTCTGGATACTGTAGGCAATAATTATAATATTGGTAGGATGTACTAATAGAAGTGAAACATGAGAGAAGATGCATTTAGAATAAATGATTTAAAAATCTTATTTTTGACAAAATCAAATATTAACCTATAATATTTTGTTTTAAATTTTGGTAATTAGCTATTTAGAGGCCAGGCAAGGGCACCAGCAGATCAACAGTCCACAGTTCACATGTTTTAAATCTTTATACAACTTACAATATGTGAATTCTTGAAAACCCTCTGTAGAACTATAAAGCATTTTTTCCTGGCTTGGATTTGTTTTGGAAATCACTAATATCACTTTTAACTTACACTGCATTATGTCCATTAAATTGTCAGATTGTCTTTTTTGTTTCTATTTTAGTGAAATAGAAGACTCTGGTACTATCCCTATAGCCAAGCCAGGGGAAACTGAGCAGTCTGAAACGGATTGTGATGTTGGTGAGGCCCTTGATGCAAATGCTCCAGTTGACCAGCCTTCCTTTGTCAGTCCACCTGAAAGGTGAGTGTGAGCTGTTGTTTGCGCTTTATATGATTCTATAATAAATGGCACTGTCACCTTTGAGTAGAGTTTGGTGCATACTTAATTCAGCTCTATGATTGAGAGAAAACTTCTTCGTGCTCCTTTCTTGGTTTACTTTGTGTTCATGTACACTTTTTATAGTTCGGATTTGTGTATACTTGTTATTCAGCTGAAATTTATTGATTTAATATGCCTTTTGATTTCAAATAGCCTTGTCGGCCAACATATAGAAAATGTGTCATCTTCGCATGGCAAAGGAAAGATAACAAAATCAGAATTTGAATCAAAAGTTTCATCAAGTGATCAGGGTGGTAGTGATCCAAAATCTGCATTGAATGCTTCTTCAGATAATTTAAAAAATGAGGTAGGTAAATAACATGCACTATCTCCTACTTTGTTACACAGTGCATTTTCGTTTTTAACTAATCTTGTAGTTTGTTAATCATATTTGCCATAAAGTTAGGGGATCAATAGTTAGTGATGAATGTGGAACTGAGGTGAAGTGTGCTCCCAGAGAGCAAGTGGTTACTTCATGAAACTACTGCCAATGTAATGTTCGTACATAAAGTTGTCCCAAATATGAACTCTCTTTGGTTATATTTAATTATAAATGGTTTTCTGCCACCATAGACTGTTTGGTACCAGAAGCATAAAGCCCTTTTAAAGCAATTTTTAAAGAGAACGTTATAGAAGTTATGATTGTTTTAAGTATCTTCAGATTATAACTCAGTAATACAGGGTTAAATTTAGGCTCTCCAACTAGAATTATTTTAAAGGGACATTTTACCCTTTGTTATTTGTGTGCAAAATACAACTAGACCAGCTTATTTTAATGAATATGATTCTTAAAGGCAAGGCTCATCCCTATATAATAGTTTTATTTTCTTTTCTCCTTTTGACTTTTACTTTGACTTCATGTAGAGGCCAGTACACAGGCCAGTACAGAATTTCCTGAAAGAATGTTGGCAGAGAAGTGTATTCCCTTCATCTAAGAAATAACTAAATAAAAGAGAGAAAGGCCACTCTATGAACTTAACAAAAACAAAACGTGGAATTGGAGTTCAAAGTACCGAGTGCCACGTCTGTATTTGTTTGTTTCTCATTTAACTTTTCTGTTCCCCACCTTTTCTTTTGCATATTCTCTGTGATTCTGCATTCATCACTAACTAAACTTCACTCTGGAGACCTGACCATCATTGGGCTAGCTGTGTCTATAATGCTTCTTATAAATGTAGGAGGTCAACATTTCATAGTCCGAGATCTTGTAGGAACAGTTTCCCAGTGAAACCAAGTCAAGTGTGTGTTACAGTTCAGTTGTCAAATACCGCAGGCATAAATAAAATTAGACAAACATTACAAAAATGTCTTCTTCAAGCTCTTCAAGTATCAAATGTAGAATTCAAGCATGGCAGCTAGTTTTGTCCAAGATTTGCTTGTTTGGCTTGACCATTCACAGCAGTGTCTTACAGATCCTTGAGATAACAAGGATAAGCTCTCCCACTCACACAGACTTAAACGGGCAGAACTATTCTGAACTGGATAGTGTATAGAACTATTGGACACTTTATGATATGCTCATTCTCTGACAGTTTTTCTGGAGTATTAAATAATTTAGGAAATAATTAACTAAAAGGATTCCATTCCTTTGCTTGTTATAATGCTTTGCAAAGTAGTTTTATTGTGTTGTTTAGTTTTTTTATTTGTTGCTAAGAGGTGAGAGTGATTGCTCTGTCTGGCCCTCAAAGAGTATGTGTGTATTCTTACTTTTTATTGTATTTCTTTTAGTATTTGGGCTTTACTCTCAAGCATCTCAACTAGATTAATTTTTATAAATATTTGTTTATTTTCTCACTTAAACTAAATTTTTACTATTTAATTTTTAAATTAGTATAATGCTGGTTTTTTGGTTTTATTTTCTGTGTATTGTTTATTAAATAGCTACATACTTTTATAAGGTTGTGTGTTCTGCAAAACACTCCCCACATGGAGGTTGTAGAGGAACCAATTTGCTAGTTTGTCTTCCTAAAGAGAGATTATAGACATGTGTGTTGATGTATTATACTAATATACAAATTAGCATTAGTACTCAAAAATGTACCCTAATATGAGATTTGTGCCATTAACTGAAGTGAGTGAGTGAGTGTTAATCTCTCAGTTGTGTCTGACTCTTTGTGACCCCATGGACTCGAGCCCACCAGGACAGAGCTCCTCTGTCCATGGAATTTTCCGGGCAAGAAGACTGGAGTGGGTTGCCATTTCCATCTCCAAGATTTACGGTCTAAATAGATTTTGTATACTTCTCAGGCATTATTAATAAATGCATTATGTATTGTATTAGGAAGACAGAAATAATGTTAAAATGGAATCAATATCCTTGCATACATTCTTCCAATTAAGGTTAAAATGACAGATTGAATTGTATGCCCTCTCCAGTAACATTTCTTCTGTCTGCTTCAAATATAACACTATCTTGAATTTTTTTTTTTTTTTTTTACATTTTAGAGCATGTTTTTAAACTTTTTTTCAAATATTCATTGCTATAAACAATACATACTATCACTTGGCATATTTTGAAACATAAAATGATATCATTCTTAAATATCATTTTACTCAACATTGTTTTTGAGTTTTGTTTATTCTTTGTTTTCACTGTTATATTTGATTCTACCGCAATTCACCTGTTCTTCAATTCATAGATATTTAGGTTATTTCTAATTTTTTGACATTATGAATAGTGCTGTAATAAGTGTCCTTATGCATATTTTCTTAGGCACATATGTATGTTTTCATTGATATTTATATGTAGGAATTAAATTATTGGGTCATAGAGTATGCATATCTTTAATATTGCTAAATGTCATACTCACTTTAGCAGTCTCATAGATGTCCCATGGCTCAACAGGCTATCACATTTTAACCTGCATCAGATTGGCATAATTTATTATCTTTAGTTTTCATTTGCATTCCCTGATTTTACTGAGAGTGAGCATTATTTTCTGTTTACTCAATTTGCTGTTCCTCTTCCACTTTTTCCCATTATTGATTTGTAGGCAGTATTTATGGTTAGTAATAATCCGTTGTTGTCTGAATGTGTTTCATATATTTCTGTCTGTGGCTTATTGAACTGTGTGGTTTATGGTCTTTTGATATATTTAATTTTCAAATTTTAAGCTAGCCAGATGTATCAGCCTTTTTAAAAAATGATTTCCTTCATCTTGCTGAATCCTGGTATAGCCTGAATCATGAAGATATCTTTTCTATACTTTCTTTAAAGCTTTGCTTTTCACATTTAAGTTTTTACAGCCACCTTAAAATTTTATATAAATGATACTTTTATTTTTAAATTTTTTATTGAAATCTTCTCTGGTGGCTCAGCGGTCAAGAACCCACCTGCCTAAGCAGGAGCTGCATGTTCAATCCCTGGGTCCGGAAGATGCCTTGGAGAGGGAACTGGCAACCCATTCCAGTATTCTTGCCTGGGAAATCCCATAGACAGAAGAGCCTGGCGGATACAGTCCATGGGGTTGCAAAAAGTTGGATACCATTTAGTGACTAAATAACAGCAACAATAGCTGATTGATAGTGTTGTATGAGAGTCAAACACTACTGAAGTGACTGAGCACGTTGTGTTACTTTCTTTTGTATAGAAAAGTGAATCAGTTGTATATATACGTATATCAACTTTTTCTTTAGATTTTCTTCCCATATAGGTTATTACAGTGTTCCATGTGTTATACTGTAGGTCTTTATTAAGGATTTAGTAGAAACAGTATGCATGCATACATGCATGCTTAGTTGCTCAGTACTACATCTAAAATTAGCTTGCTTTAATATATATTTTATTTTAATATAGATTTTAAGATGGATGCATGGTAATTATAGTATCTGTACAGTTTTTGTATGGGTAATTGTTGGCTTATGAAATTATATAGAGTTTTTTACAACCCATGCTAATATTGCTAACATATGGAGGGATTCATCCTGTGGTACTCAGGTAGAAGGTTTTAATTCTTCAAAGAGAAACTCAGCTTTTAAGTTAAACCAAAACTTTCCTTTGTATGTTTTTGTTTTTTCCAAAATACCATCATTAATTATAAAATTGGGCTTCTAGTTTAATTTGACAGAAACATTTCTATTTACTAGTATAATTTATTCTATTTTCTCTGTATTCTTTGAAATCTGAAATCTTATTTATTTTTGACATTTCTTTCAGAGTTCTGATTTTACAAAACCAGGAGAAATTGACCCTACACCTGTTACAAATTCCAAAGACCCAGAAGATATACCAACATTTGATGAATGGAAGAAGAAAGTTATGGAAGTAGAAAAAGAAAAAAGTAAGAAAGCACTATAATGTAATTTTTTTTAAGGGATTGGTTTAAATATGCAGTTTCTCTTTTTAATTGGTAAAATAAAGTAAAACTTCTGAAAACTTTATAATGTAAAACTTACCAATATGCTTTCGGTTATCCACATGGAATTTATCTGTGTCTGTGTCTTGCTAATCTTGATTAAAATCCACTATTGTAAATTATTAAACAAGGCTAAAATAAGATAAAGTCATCTCAGTTTGTAAGAGGAAAGTTGAAGCCTGGAAAGTTCTCAGTCATAAAGCTTTAAACTGTAACCAGAATTGGACTAAAGTATTAACACTTTTCTCTTTGTCGTTAAAAATCAGAGTTAAAAATTATTGTTGGGGTTAGTGATGGATAAACTTCTATCCTTAATACAATAAAATGTATATGCAAAAGTTTCGATTCTCATAGTAAACTTCCATTTTGTGAATTATACTAAGCATAAGTCAAGTAATGTGGATTTTTGTAGTTAATTTACTAAGGATAAAAGCTATTTCATATGGGTTTTTAAAATATTCTCTTTAGTATTAAAACCTGGACTCTAGATGGTAGCCTGTTGTTCTTGAGATTGTTTGCTGTGGGTATTTTCAATCATAATCATCATATATATATGTTCATAATAAGGTTTGTCTGCAGGTCAGTCAATGCATCCATCTTCTAATGGAGGTCTACATGCCACAAAAAAGGTCCAGAAAAATCGAAATAATTATGCTTCAGTTGAATGTGGTGCCAAAATTTTGGCAGCTAACCCAGAAGCCAAGGTACTTAAGTGTAAAATTCTTCTATATATATAGGAAGCTAGAGATTTTATTAAATATAAGCAGTGGTTTCCTGGAAACTATATTTTAACATGAGCTATTTTCCTAATCCACTAGTAAGTGCAAGATTATGCTTTTAAAGACATAATTTCTTGCATGAATTCTTACTGTATTGGTTGATGCATTGCACCATTTTTTTTTTTTAAGAGTAGTTATAGGTTCCCAGCAAAATTGAGAGGAAGGTCTGGAGATCTGCCATATACCCGCTATCCCCACATGTGTTGGTCTTTTCCAGTACCAACATCTCCCACCAGAGTGGTACATTTGTTATAGTTGATGAATTTATATTGACAGATTGTTATCCCCTGAAATCCATAGTTTACGTTAGAGTTCACTTTTATACATTCTGTGGGTTTAGGTAAATGTATAATGACATGTATTTGTCATTATAGTATCATATAGAGTATTTTTACTGTCCTAAAAATCCTCTGTGCTCTACCTATTCACTTCTTCCTTCCCCCAACTTTTGACAGCCACTTATCTTTTCACTATCTCCCTAGTTTTATCTTTTCCAGAAAATCATATAGTTGAAATACCATATGTAGCTTTTTCAGACTGACTTCTTTCACTTAGTAATATGCATTTAAGTTTCATCCATGTCTTTCCATGACTTGATAGCTCCTTTCTTTTTAGTATTGAATAATACTCCATTGTCTGGATGTGCCATAGTTTATCCATTCACCTACTGAAGGGCATACACTTGGTTTTTAAACTTTTAAAACCTGTGTTTTAAAAGGAAATAGCTAATAGAAAAAATCATTTTTCTTCTATAGCAACAGACATTTAATTTTAGGTGTTTTATTACAAGCCTTACTTAGCACAGTATAGACAAAACTTGTAAATTTTAGCTGCTTTTATGCTTTCTTCCCAGGTGTTTCAGTCTCTTAGGTATATTTTAAGATTTAAAAATACAGAAAACCTAGAAAACTTGAGAGTTGAAATAAATATTTTTCTTTAATTTATTCCCTTCCCCCTTTTTAAAAATAGAGCACATCTGCTATTCTTATAGAAAATATGGATCTTTATATGTTGAATCCTTGCAGCACTAAAATTTGGTAAGTAATATAAAATTTAATAAAATATACTTTATATATATATTATATTAACCTTTTATGTTAGGGTTAGATTTATTTGTTCATATATTCACTTAATAAGCACTTACAATTTGTTCATATGTCACTTAATAAGCATTTATGATTGGTGCTGGTACTATACTTTCCTTAGGTCCTGGGGTATAAAACTGAAGACAAAATGTCTTTCCTTTTAGGGATGTCACACAAAATTGACAGATCTAGTTCAACAATTATCAAATAGTATGAAAAGTATGACTGAAAAGATACTATAGAAACAGACGACATATAACTGCAGAAGAGAATGAGCTTGCTATAAGAGGTGATTTATGAGCTGAATCTTGAAGAAGTAATTCCTTGAATTCATAAGTAAGTCACAGATAAGGGAGACAGAGGTATTCAGGAATTGTAAGAAGGGACTAGCACTAGTAGGAGCGAATGTCTTCTGGGCAGCTGTAAGTAGGAGCAAACTAAAGAAGCTGTTTTAGTGATTACAAGAATAGAGGTACAACTGTAGTAGTCATGAAAGATGAGCCAAGAGACTCAGTTGAGCAGTAATTAGGCCATTCATGCTGTGTATACACAGCTTAAAAGTTTCTGAGGTTTATCTTAAAGACCATGGAGGGTAGTGTTTGTTTTAAGTAAGGAAATGACATGACCTCACTGGCATTTTGGGAAGGCTTATCTTCAAAAGATGGCCTACAGCATAGTGTAGTTGGAAGCAGTGAAACCAGTTAGGAACCTGCTGTCATACATAGCTCATGTGGAAAATAAGGGCTTTAATTAAGGCATGGCAATTTGGATAAAGAAGAGAGAGAAAAATCTGAAAAATGTTTATAGCAGTTAAAATTGACAGCTTTTGCTTAGAAGTTGGATGTGAAGAAGACAGAGGCATCTGATAAATCTCCCTGGATTTTGGCTTCATTGCTTCAATCTAATTCTTGCATTAACTAAGAATATAGACAAAGAAACTTACGGGGGATATATGGGGGAAATAATGTTTAATATGCCAACAGTTTTATTAGATTGATTTCGTTGATCAAAAGCAGCTATTTTAAAAAAGAATTGAGGTAAATCACCACCATTTTACTGATTGATTAATGATGTGGTGGAGTCACTCAGTCCTGTCTGACTCTGCGACCCCATGGACTGTAGCCCGCCAGGCTCCTCTGTCCGTGGGATTTCCCAGGCAAGAATGCTGGAGTGGGTTGCCAGTTCCTTCTCCAGGGGATCTTCCCAACCCAGAGATTGAACCTGCAACTCCTGCTTTGCTGGTGGATTCTTTACCACAGCCTCCTGGGAAGCCTGTTTTCCTTTTTAGATAATTGTTTATTCACACTTTTCCCTCTGATTTACAATAATACATTTATCATAAACTTCTCTTATATATGGGAATTTGTTTCTGTACTCTTTGTCCTGTTCCTTTGGTCAGTTTATCATTACCTACAGAAACATCACACTCTTTAGCTTTATAAATCTTAATACCTGGTAGGGCAAGTTTTTGTACCATATCCTTCAGGACTGACATGGCTGTTCTGCCGCTGCTTTCTTTTCTTTTCTTTTTTTCTGTTAAATCTTTAGACTTATTCTATTGAGTTCCCCAAGTATCCCTTTGGATTTTGTTTGGGATTGTATTGCATCTTTTGCTGACTTTTAGAGATTGAGTTTACCTATCCTATATAGGGCATATCTTTAAGTTGTTTTTAATGTCTTTCAATTATTTTGTTTTTTCTTTTTAACTTTTCCATGAAAGTATTTCATGAAATACTTTCATGAAAGTATTGTGTATCTTTTGCTAAATTCATTTGTGGGTATCAACAGGAAACTAACACAACATTGTAAAGCAACTATACTCCAGTAAAAATTAATAAAAAATTCATTGGTTGTTAAGTTTTTTGTTATGATTCTAAATATCTTTAAAAAATGATGTTGTGTTGTGTTTAGATATCCAGTTTTTTTTTTTAATGTATGAGTCTTAGATCCAGCTACTTATGTTATAGTCTCTTATTTTAATAGTTTATATGTAGAATCTTTGAGGATTTCTGCATAGAAAATTTTAGCTTCCCTACATATTTTTTTCCTTTTTAAAATTTTCTTATCCTTTTATTGTATTTTACTTTCTTTTTGTCATCACATGCTGGCTAGATCATTGAGAAAATTGTGTGTAGTGATAGTAGACTACTATCTAGTAGTAGAATAAGTTTCATCTTATTCCTTATTTGGAAGGCAGTGCATCTCACCTAATACTTATAAGATATGTGTTTTGCATTTTTTTTTTTTTTTTTACTGAAGTGTAGGTCATGCTAGTGGTAAACAACCCATCTGTGAGTGCAGGAGATGTAGAGATTCGGGTTCAATCCCTAGGTTGGGAAGATCCCCTGGAGGAGGGCATGGCAATCCACTCCAGTGTTCTTGCCTAGAGAATCCCATGGACAGAGGAGCCTGACAGGCTACAGCCCATAGGGTCACAAAGAGTCAGACAAGACTGAAGCGACTTAAAAGTACGTAGTTGATTTACAAAATTGTATTCGTTTCAGGTGTACAAAATAGTGCTTCCAGTATTTTTCTTGATTATATTCCATTTAAAGTTATTACAAAATAATGAGTATATTTTCCCATGCTGTACAATGTGTCTTTGTTGCTTATTTAGTCTGTGTGTAGTATTTTCTGTCTCTTAATTCCGTACCTCTATCTTGTCCCTCCCCTTCCCTCTCCCTCCTGTTAGCCGTGACTTTGTTTTATTTTCTTCTTGCCGTCTTTGTCGTGGATGGATCGACCCTGAGTTCGTGGGGTCCTTTCTGGGCTCTCTGTCCTGAGCCGCTGATCTGTGTGTCTGTTTCTGTATCTACCATGCTGTTGTGTTACTGTAGGTTTGTTGTATAATCTGCAGTTAGGGAGCATGATATCTCAAGCTTCTTTTTTCTCAGGATATGCTACATTTGAATCTCAACTGTAAAGCCTTCCATGCCTCAGGGAAGATGTTAATTTTAAATTAAATATGTGATTTCAAAAATAGGACATTCATGTGGCTTAACTCAAAAAGGTGTTCGAAAGAGGTAGAGGAGCTACACTACACTTCCTGTCTGTCATCTGTCTTCCTATTCAGTGTTAAATTTTTAGATACCTTTTTATTTTCTTTATGCAAAAACAAAGATTTTATTTATCTCTCAGTTTTCACAGCAGCATATTATACATAATATTTATCACTTTGAATTAACTTTTAACCTAAAATTTTCTGGTCATGTTTCTATTTCATTCATACATAAAACTTTTTCTTTTTTTTTTTTTTAATAACTTCATGAAAATCCATTATATGATTGTACCAATTTAGTCTTAATGTTGATAGTATTTGGGTTGTTTATAGTAATCTTTTGCCAGAACAGATTATAAGTAAGCTTGTGCATGCATTGTTTTATACTTGTGTGAATAGATGGGAAGGTTTAAAAACCATATTTAAAAGAAGTAATTTTGAGGCTGTATGCCTGCTAAGTTGCTTTAGTCGTCTTCAACTCTTTGCAACCCCATGGACTGTATAGTCCACCAGGCTCCTCTGTCCATGGGATTCTCCAGGGGAGAATACTGGAGTGGGTTGTCATGCCCTCCTCCAGGGGATCTTCCTGACCCAGGGATCAAACCCTTGTCTCTTAAGTCTCCTTCATTGGTAGGTGGGTTCTTTACCACTAGCGCCACCTGGGAAGCCCATACATGAAACTGTGTAGTTTTTCTATTTCTTCTTAACTTAGTTTTAGTAAATTAGTTTGGTTAATCACGTTTTTCTAGAAATTTGTCTTTAATCCATTTTGAAGGTTTTTGTAATGAAGTTGTTTATGGTATTTTCTTACGTTTAAAAATCTTTTCTTTGTACCTTTGCAGATTAGTCTAAGGTCAGCTCTGTTCTTTCTCAAGATTATTTTGGCTATACGGGGTATTTTGTGTTTCCACATAAATTTTAGAGTTATGCATTCTAGTTTTATAAAAATGTCATTGGTATTTTGATAGGGATTGCATTGCATTTGTAGTTTGCCTTGTGTAATATGTTCATATAATCTAAATTGTGACACGTGGTATTTTATCAAAGTACTCTTATGTTTAGGTCTGCTACTTTACTGACCTTTTAAACTTTCTGACCTACTATTAATTAAGAAAAGCATGTTGAAATTAGATGTGTCAGCTTTTGTACGTAGTTTTACTAATTTACATGCGGTGTTATCTACCTTTAAGAAAATATAAAAGATGAGACTTAGATAAAAAAGCATTTTAAAATCAACCTTTATGAGGAACAATTACATATGTACTACTAATTATATATATATATTATGAGTGTTTACTACTTTAATATAAGTTTTAGAAATGTTAAATCTTCTTGATGAATTGACTGTACACCTGGTAATACATTTGTCCAAAAATTTATTTTAATAGTATTAGTAATATAGCTCATATCTTCTTAGAAATTGAGAACGTTGTATGCAAAAGAAGTAGAGGAGAATTTGCTTTTTTTTCTTAGTGCTCTTAAATAAAAAGCAAAATCTGAGTCTGATTTTCTTTAGTTTCCTCTCCTTTGGGTGTAGTACAGATAGTGTTTAGGCTTTGGAGCCAGATAGATGTGTCTTTTAACTTTTAACTTTGTTACTTAAAACAAATGACTCTTAGTTAGGGCTCTTGATTCTGCCTTTTTAACAGAGACTAATGAACTGTGGTTTGAGAAAGACAGTTAATTTTCTCTGACACAAAAACCTCAAGTTGGTATGTGGGGCAGGGGTATAATAGAAAACAATTAAAGGACACATATACCTTCTGTCATGTTTTTCTACCACCCCCAAGATATTGTCCCTGACTGCACTGCTGTGATGATTTCCTATCACATCCTCATTCTGACCTGTAAGGTGGGAGAAAGCAGAAATAGAGGTGGCAGCTTCCTTTTGAAGGCTTGACCTGAATGTTGCACTGGATGCTTCTGGCTACATCCTATCACATAATTAAGTAACATTGCCAAGACTGGGAAAAACAGTCTTTGATTAGTGACTGTATGCTTGGCTACATCTTGGGAGAGGGGAACAAGTTCTGTTTTAAAAAGGCAGAAAGGAAAAACGTGAAGTAACCAATTGAATAATTCTGTAAAATAGAAATAATCTGCATTTTGGTTGTAAGAATTAAATCAGAGCATGGACATAAATCATCTAAAATGACATCTGACACAGACTAAGCATTCAGCAACTGTTAGTATACTTTTCATCAGGAGCTGTTCTCTGAATCATGGCTGTTCTTACCATCTTCTGGATTCAGTTCTGTTGCTCCCCAAGATTAACACAATATGTTAATTGTAATGCTTTTAATTTAACATTTACTTGTCAGTGTATATAATCTCCTTTGATATAATAATTAGTTTATTAAAGTATTGATTAGAGTCCTAGATGTCATGAGTATTTCTTTCCCCAAATGCCATGCTAGATGTTGTGTTTTTTTTTTAGATGTAGTTTTATTTTACACATGTAGAACCATACTGTTAATGTTTTCCTAAATAGCAATATTTCGTGGCATCTTTTCCAGGTCCATGATACGTATCTCAAATATCATTTCTTTTTTTCAAAAATTTCACACATGCAATTTCATATAGTTCTATAATAACCCTTATTTTTCTTTCCCTACCACTATTTGCCATCCCCTATTCCATCTTCCCGCCGATAACCGCTAGTTTGTTCTCTATACCTGTGAGTCTGCTTCTTTTTTGTTTTATTCACTAATGTGTTGTTATTTTTAAAAACAGTTTTACTGAAGTGTAATTGACATATAAAAAACTATACATAAAATAAATTGTAAGATGTTAAAGTGTACAATTTGATAAGTTTTGATATTTATTCATCTATGAAGCCATCACCACGGTGAAGATAATAAGCATATCTGTCTCCCCCAATATTTTCTTCATGCTCCTTTTTAATTTTTCCCTCCCAGCCCTTACCCCCATAGCAATTACAGATCTGTTTTCTGTCACTATACATTGGTCTGTATTTTCTATATTTTTATATAAATGCAATATATAGTTTCTAGTACCATTTTTAATAGCTGTTTGGTATTTCATTGTCTGAATGGGGCCATAATTTGTCAGCCAATCCTCTATACTAAACATTTAGGTTGACTTCCCTCCCGCCTAGCTCTCACTTTTATAAACTGTGCTTCGATATATTTATTAAGATGCATATACAAGGGTGATCATTTGGAACTGTGTGTCCATAATTAAATTTCTAAGGGTATATTGCTGAATCAATAGCTGTGGTACATTTTGAGATAATATGGCCAAACTGCCCTCTAGACTAGTCAGGTTACACTCTTTCTAGTTGTTTTTCGTCAGGTCATTCCTTCTCCAAGAATGAGCTTTGTCATTGGAAAAGAATCTTTATTAAAAAAATACTGTAGGACAGAATCAGTATTTTTTCCCCAATAATGCTGTGCCTGGGAAATACTTAGGGATGTTCTTTCTCAAATCCTCTTCCTTCCTTACATTTTTTAATGACTAACTTAATGGAGGTCTAGTTTATGTAAGCTGTTAATGTCATGTTTAATATGGATTGTTATTCTAGTTTATCTAAATAATTGTCTTGTGCTCTTTTTAAAGGTTTGTTATTGAACTCTGTGAACCAATTCAAGTAAAACAGTTTGATATTGCAAATTACGAATTATTTTCTTCTACTCCTAAAGACTTTCTGGTTTCTATCAGTGACAGGTAAATTCTAAAGCTGGTTTCTATGGAGTTAATATTGGATTTTCAGAATAAAAATTTTAAAATGGGTCATGTTTTAAAACTTTAATTATTTTTTGTTTTAATCAACTTGTATCCATTTGTAAGAACAGTAATAATATTGTTGTAGGGTAGTCATTTGTTAGTTTACTTTCATTAACTTATATAGTGCTTATATCAACCCTTTGATGTTATTCCCTTATGAGATGAGGAAACAGAGAGACATTAAATAGCCTATGTAGGTCACGTGATTTGTGAGTTGCACAACCAAGATTCAAACATAGATCTCTATGACTTTGAACTCCTTACTTTTAATTATTATGCTGTATTGCTTCCAAACATTTCTTTAAAAAGTTATTAAAAACATATGAGTATTTCATTTTACCTCATTTTATAGCATATATTTTTGTTAAAGTATATTTTAAAAACTTTGGTATATATGTGTGATTATAAGAGAAACATACATTCCAAGGAATTTGGTAGAGAATCCCAGTTCTATCAACCAAAGATACCTGTATTAACATTTTAATACATCCCTTCCATTCTTTTATACACATTCATATATTTATAGTTCTATCAAAAATTAGTTTCGATGCTTACATCTTGAGAATATCCTTTTTTTAATTTTAAACACATCATTTTTAATAAATACTTGATATATTCCTCCAAATGGAGGTATTTGTTCATTCCATAAATGCTTTTTGAGTGCCCACAATGTACCATGTAGGATGCTGTTTTTACTTGATCCTTTTATTACTGACCATTAAGAGTTTTCTGTGATGTTTCTTCCCCTACCCTACATGTAGCATTGCCTATATACAGTTTTCAAAATGATTTCTCAAGATCTCTTACTCATTTTTCTTTAACTAACTTTGCTCAGATCATTTCCTTTTTCCCTAAGCTGTAATTTTCTTACCTGTCAAATGGATGTGTTCAGCTATGACAAGTAAAGTGTATTTTTTTAATGTGATAAGAGAATACTCATTACTTTGAGGGATTCTATAAATGCTGTAGTAAAGAAAAACAGTAGTTTTGGATTTTACATTAGATTTCCTTTAAAATGGGAAAAGCTGTGTAAGTGCTGTGAAATTCAAATATGATAGTAAAGGATTTTTTCTGTTTCCCTTTCAACCAGTACTTATGCTTTATATCATTGCACACTTCAGTTCAGTCGCTCAGTCGTGTCTGACTCTTTGTGACCCCATGAACCGCAACATGCCAGGCCTTCCTGTCCATCACCAACTCCCAGAGTCTACCCAAACCCATGTCCATTGAGTCGGTGATGCCATCCAACCATCTCATCCTCTGTCGTCCCCTTCTCCTCCTGCCCTCAATCTTTCCCAGCATCAGGGTCTTTTCAAATGAGTTAGTTCTTCGCATCAGGTGGTCAGAGTATTGTAGTTTCAGCTTCAACATCAGTCCTTCAAATGAACACCCAGGACTGATCTCCTTTAGGATGGACTGGTTGGATCTCTTTGCAATCCAAAGGACTCTCAAGAGTCTTCTTCAACACCACAGTTCAAAAGCACCAGTCTGATCACACACTTACTGGTACATAAAGAGTAGTACCTCATCCTTCCAAAACACTCTCTTGGCTACTTTCTGTTTTAAAGCCTCCAGTTTACTTGGAAGCCCTCTAAAACTCCCAACAGGCAATCCTGGTCCTTTTTGTCTTCCTCTTGTCTTCTATTTGATAGTGTGATTTTTCAAGATAGTCTTTCTTCATAAGGAGAAACCTGTCAGAGTTTAGTTGGAAAAGAAAATGTATTTATTCAACTTGATGCTTAACTCATATTTAAACTATGTTAAGTGAATTTGTTACCTGGAGAGGGGGGAAAAAAAAGTACAAGATCTGATTTGAAAATGATAAGACCTCTCAATGTGTGATTTATGATTTTCTAAAAAGGAATGTTAATATTTTTTTTTATTTTCTAGATACCCCACAAACAAATGGATTAAGCTGGGTACTTTCCATGGTAGAGATGAGAGGAACGTCCAGAGTTTCCCTTTAGATGAACAGATGTATGCAAAATATGTGAAGGTAATGTTTATCTGTACAGAACTATGTTCTATAATGAAACATACCTGTTACTCATACTTGGTACCTCACCTGTTTAGAGATAAGAAAAATTAAGAGGAAATGTATTGTTGTATTCCTTTTAATAAAATAATTCTTTCTTGAATATATTATTTTATGGGACAAATACTAATACATTTCCTTTTATGTAACTGGAAACCTAGGCTAGTTTTTTTATATCTGTGGCTTTGATGAAATTCCAAATTATAACTCTTAATATTTTTGAAGTCTTGATATGACATGTCATCTTTATAGTATTATATTTCTTTATATTTTAACACCTGAATCAGTTACTCACTGCTGTCTTTAAAGCAGGTCTGGTTTCTTATTAGAATCTGATTCTGAGATTTCTATTTTAATGCCCAGTTATTTATCATTATAGCTTTTTGTCTTTTGTATATTCAGGTGAAATATTATGTCTAAGTAACAATTTCAAATAAAGTTTTAACTATTTAAATTCCTGCTGCAACCTAAATGTCCATTGACAGAAGAATGGATAAAAAAGCTGTGGTACATATATACAATGAAATATTATTCAGCCATAAAAGAGAACAAAATAACGCCATTTGCAGCAACACAGATAGACCTAGAAATTGTCGTACTGAGTGAAATAAGACAGCAAAAGATAAATGTCATGCGATATTGCTTATATGTAGAATCTAAAAAATGGTACAAATGAACTGCTTACAAACAGGAATAAAGCTACAGATGCAGAAAACAAACTCATGGTTACCAGGGGGTACGGTGGAGGGTAGGAGGAGAGGGAAACGGGCAGACGGGGACTGACACATGCGCACTGTGTCATAACGTCGGTCACCGGTAAGGCCCTGCATGCAGCGCAGCGCGGGAGACTCCGCTCAGTGCTCTGCAGTGACCTGTGTGGCTGAGGAAGCGAAGAGTGTGTGTGTGTACCTGGAAGTGAAGAGTATGTGTGTGTGTGTGTACCTGGAAGTGAAGAGTGTGTGTGTGTGTGAGGAAGCGAAGAGTGTGTGTGTGTGTGTGTGTACCTGGAAGTGAAGAGTGTGTGTGTGTGTGTGTACTTGGAAGCAAAGAGTGTGTGTGTGTACGTGCCTGGAAGCAAAGAGTGTGTGTGTGTGTGTACCTGGAAGCGAAGAGTGTGTGTGTGTGTGTGTGTGTGTGTGTACCTGATAAACCTTGCTGTACAGCGGAAGCTAATGAAGCATTGTAAATCAACTGTACTCTCATAAAAGCCATAAATACATTTCTACTGCTTTCCTCACCAGTGTTGAGGTGGAATTATCTACCAAAATAGAATTATTATCACTCTTGAATTGAATTTAGACAAAATATGGGAATTTCTTACTCCTCTTTATTTCCTCCTTTTTTTATCTTTATAATACTATAGTCATACCTTAAAGTACAGCTGTGTTAGTAAGACCTTTTGGAATGACGGCAGCTCTAATTTTCTTCTTAATTATTTCTTCTTTAAATGTGAAAACTTATACCTGCCTACTCGTCTCTTGGGATTTTACTGTCTGTGTCTTTTGTAAGCATGTATTAAATTGGCTTCTGTAAATGGGTAAACTTGTAGTATTCCTACTCTCAATATAAAAATACTTTTATAAAAATGCTGTTTTTAAAGTTCAATTGATATTTTCAGTTAATGATTCAACAGTGTTCAGAAAAATGATGATACATTTTCAGTTTCTTTTTAAAGTGAATTCTGAACCAGTTTAATGACCTTTTTATGTAGCAGTTTTCACACTGTGATGCCGAAAAAAATATATAAAATACTTCGGCAGATGATACAGTTGTACCTGATTTTGCAATTAAGACAACTCACATGTTATGAAATAGAATCATTCTTTATAGTGTCTACTTTGTTAATAACAGAACATTCTATTGGTGATACAAAAAAATTCTGTATGAAGCTCCCTACTTTGTCCTCTTTATAATGGGAGACTATAGGGCATTTTGATGACTGGTTTTCTTAAAAGCCCTTTTTGGTAGATTTAAACCTAAAAGCAGAAAACATTTACTTCTGATTCTTATTTTATACTGATAAATGTTATATAAGTTTATCTGAGTTTTGCTCATCCCAAAAGAATTAAAACCCATATTTAAAAAATGCTTTTTAATAGCTTATATTTTAAAAATGAATTGATAAATATCCTCTAGTTCTATAAGTTATACTTAAAATAGCAGCATATCAGAAATCCAAGTTTCCCCAAAATAGTGTGTGTACAGTATTGTGCAAGAATAAATATTATTTTTTATTATGTTAATCTTTTTATCAATATGTATGTTCATAGATATGTATAGCCACATACATGTATCAGTGTATTAATATGTAGGTATATACATGATAACATTTATAATATTTAGTGTAATATAAGGCAGGTTATTTCTAGATATGCTTTAATTACTTTTAAAATGCTTTCATATCTAATGGATAAATAAAACAGTAGCAGTGGATTTTAGGTTAAAGTTAATTTATTTCATTACAGTTGCACTATATTTTCTAGTTGTGATGGTAAAAATAAATGCAAATCATTGCTTTGGTTTCTGCAAAGAAATGAGTACTACAATGTTATCCATCACAGTATATTGCTTTCTATAATTATACAATATAATTTACAAATATTGAATGTTGCTTATGGCATGTTATTCAGACTTTGGAACTGATTTCTTTTTCTTTTCCTTTCTCTTGCTTCAGATGTTCATCAAGTACATAAAGGTTAGCAACCTTCTCTTTTGCAATATTGAATAATAGGGCATTGCATATTATTGCTTGGCAAAGCAAAAGCTTTACAAATACTAGTTTTGGGGAAAATTAGGACTTTATGTTTAGAAATGTTATAATGAAAAAATTGGATATTTTGTTAGATAATCTCACATACACTGTGCTGGCTTCCCATTTTGTGTGCTTTTATTTTTTAGGTGGAGTTGGTATCACATTTTGGATCAGAGCACTTTTGTCCATTAAGCCTTATAAGGTAATACAGAGCAAAAAAATTTACCAAGTGGTTTAAAAAGAAAAAAAGGCAACATAGAAATTCCAGTGAAGAAATAATTTGTTATTACGTGCAGATAACACCGTAAAAAATATACTGCTAAACCTTTCTTCCTTTTTCATACAGTTTAGAAAAGTGTAAAAATTTAGATAGGAATCTGGCATGTATCATTTCTAATTTTTTTTGATAATTTATGTTCATAATTATATCCTTGAGAAAAGTGTTTAAAATTTTTTATGCTAAACTATATATATCTTGCAGTTTCATTTTATATCTATCAATATGATTTGATAATGACTGTAATAGTATATTTCTGATTTCTTTAAACGGCTGTGTAAGTTTCACAATCTGAATAAACCACAATTTATGAATCCTCCTTAAAAAAAAAAATTTCCTTTGTTAGGAAAAAAGAACCTTCATTTTATGTGTTTGATTTAGCTTGCTTCATATGATGATAAATAAATGGGAAAGTTTTAGGCCAATAAGTCATTGGCTTACTAGTCATTATATTTTTAAATGCCTTAAATAGATTGACATTCTAATTAAAACAGTGGATTGAGAACATCATTATTTTTGAGTCCAGAAGTTAATGACCCTTAAAACATAACCAAGATTATAGTTTGTCATTTATTATGAAGAGATGAGTCTTAACAAGACTTTAATGAAAAACTTCAATGAAATTGTTGTTAACAGGGTATTTGGCACTAGCATGGTGGAAGAATATGAAGAGATTGCTGATTCCCAGTACCAGTCAGAACGTCAGGAATTATTTGATGAGGACTATGGTGAGTGATTTTAAAAAAGTAACTATGTATATTTTTTTGTTTTTTAAATGGATAAATGTAGGTCATTTAAAAAGATCACCATGATGATTAGTCTTTAGTTTTTTCCTTGTTTTTAACCCTAGTAACTAATTTTCTCCTAAACCTATTTTCTAAAATAATTTCCTGTTGTCAGTCAGTTATTTGTGACTTGAAACTCCCTTCCATTACCCCAGTGTTAATAAATTATGGTTATATCCCTATGCTAGGCCCAAAAGCCTATTACTCAAAGGCAACTGATATAGTAGAATTGAGCGTGAATTTCTTTGATTTGCCTTTAGCCTAAGAGCAAGCATATTGAGGCATGAGTTTTTGAGAAATTCCCATGAGCCTGCAGAGGTCAGAGAATGTTTTATGACACCTTTCATTTCTATTTTATTAAGTTCTTGTTTTAAGATGTCTTAAACTGTAGTCTGAAAAATCTAATTTTTGCATTTCCTAGTTTTCCCATAAGTGAAGTGAAGTCATTTACTAGGGATTGGTAAACAACACTGAAAGCTTGAATAAAAGTCTTATAATTAAAATTTTTGTAAGCAGTAGAAATATATTCTTTGGTTTTTATCTGTTTAATAAATGGCTTATAAATTTTCTTTTTTGTGAATGTGCTCGAAACTAATGAAAACTGTAAAATTGTTTTGTCAACTGACTTGACAGGACTTAATTTGTGCTTTTAAACATATCTGAGATAGTTGTCAGCATTATTAACCTTCATTTTCTCTTTGAGCAGATTATCCACTGGATTATAATACTGGGGAGGATAAGTCCTCAAAAAACCTTCTTGGTTCTGCTACGAGTGAGTATTTGGGGGTTTTTCTAGTCACTATTAAAGTATATCTCAGCTTCTATTTCCTGGCATATGTGAACATTTTGTTTTGAAGTTTAGGGGACTCCTTCTGTACTAGTGTTGAACTTTGAGTTGAAATCAAAGAATACTTTTCAGAAGTATTTTCATAGGAGTAAAATAGAAAATATATGTAAACAAAGAAGAGAGGCAAAATGCAAGCATAGGTCAGTTCTTTTACAAAAATGAAGTAGTTATATTTTTAGACAAGTTCCTTAGAGTGAAGAATGGGATATGAATTTACTTGGGGAAAGATTTATTAAAGAGGTCCTACACCATATAAATAAGAGCATCTAGGTAATCATACTTGGTAGGAAAGGAGTATATTTCAGAAGTGGTACTCATCAGTGAAATCCTACCAAATGAGGATTTGTTAATGTATGGGTATGGTTAGTTTCCTGATTAATTATAAAGCATAAAGGCTGTTCTTATTCATGATAATGATGATTCCCAAGCAGTAACAATAATAGCAATAATAATACACTCTTTGTAAACTGAAAAAGGAAGTGACTAAGATACTAGTTGTTTAGCTTGTCTTGCCAACCTATTATCTGAACTTATAGATATGCTAGCCAAGTAGACTCCTGGAAAGACCTTTACCTACTGACACTTTATTTTTACTCTTAGAATGCAGGTAGGTATACTTTACATTTGTTATTTTTGGTTAGTCCCCCAAAATAAGGCCTTTTTATTTGGAGGTTAATAATTGAATTTAATGAAAGTAAATCTTAGTATAACATAGAAGATGATTTGTGCATTTTTCTTTTACTCTTGAGTTGTTTGAATCCCAGTCTCACTGTGTATATTGTCCTGATAGCTTTTTAAGGTCCTCAACCAGTAGTATCTATACCTAGGTAGATATTTGGGTGGCTACACTATATGGAATTAAGAGTCACTTGTCTTTCTTTTCATCTTTTATTTTTTTCCCTTTCTTCCCTTCTTGTCCTCTCCCTCTCTATAGAAGACTAGAGATTTCAGTAGACTTTTTTAGGGAATAGGAAAAAGAATGTTAAAAAATAACTGCATAAAGGGAATGTTTTTATGTCATATTTAACTTTGTGATAGATTAGGAACAAGTCAACTGACTTTTTAGATATTATTGACTGCTTTTAAGTGTATCCTTAGCAATATCTCCTGATGATAGCATTAAAAACAGGTGCCTCATTTGCTATGGGATAGTTTTTTAGGAGTGAGACAATGATGCTATTTTATTTAATTGGATGTTAATATGTTTGTTCGTGTCCTTAAATTTGTAGTTTAAAAACAATGTTATGTAATAGTCATCATATAATAATTCAGTAATGCTGATTTAGCTGTGAGGCGGCATTGTTATTTTAAGGGGTCAGAAAATAGCCCCAGACTAAAAGTTCTCTGGTTTTTGGTGGTTACTGGGAACAAAGGGGCACCTTCCAGAAGTAATGATTTACTATAGTTTTAGATAAGGGAAATTTTTGTTGATATTTTGCTTTCTTTCTCTATCTTCCTATGGGATTAACTCCCAAGACAGCATTAAAATGTTTTCAGTAGAGGACATTTCCCTATTGGTAATCACTTCTCTGGCTGATGTATTATTTTAATTAGTGAGACATAGAATTTTAATTATTTTAATTAATGAGACATAGAATGAGACATAGATCCTATTTTCTGGATCTTTTTCCTTGAAGATATATTTCTTGGTAACACATTTCATTTTAGTTTCCATGGCTTTCTGGAAGAGCAGTCCATTTACCTTCCAGTGTTCCTAGGTGTTGAAAAATTTTGTATAGTGAGACAAGGTGGATGGGAGGATATCAGCTGAGCCCAAGCATGAGAGGTTTAAAAAGAGATCCATTTCTTGGCGTTTCACAATAAGAGAGGCAGTAGTAGCTGAGTGATAAGACTTTGCTGTCATTAAGTTAATAGGCATGACCTAATACTGCTCCCTTCGATACCTATATCCTTCTGGTTTTCTCTGAATAGTCTAGACTGGTTTTGAGCTTGAGCTGGGAACTTCCTTCAATGTAATATAATGTTAGGAAAAAATAATAACAAAGTGGATTCAGGCCAAAGAGCTTGTCTCTGGCAGTGGAATGTCTGAATTTGACTATAATCATCACCACTTTCTAAATTAGCTTGAAATTGGCCAATTTTGCACCTAATTTATTTTTAATATTTACATAATGTCTCCAAAGCAGAATTCTGTGCCTTTAAAAGAGAAACTCTTTTTTTCTTTTGCTAGTGAGTAATTGGTAGTCACAGGAAATATATGTCACCAGAATATGTTGCTTCTAATGGGACTTGGTTGTCAAAGAGTATGCATGCTGTTTATTTAGACATTTTTGATATTATATAATTTACTGAACTTCCAGAAAGGGAGAGACTACTATCTTAGAGCAGCATTCTTGGCTTTGTATGTATGCCAGCTCTGAGACTCTTCTGCCTGAATCTTTTGTTTACATTCTTGAGCCAGAACATTTAAATATTTTACATCAACAGAAATTCTTCATATCAGTCTACTCTACTTGTGCTTGGTCATGTGGGTCTTCTGGGCCATTCTCTACTTTGATATTCTTGCAAGTCTGCCTTTACTCCTAAATATGATCTGTATTTTATTAGAGTCATCAGATTTGCTCAGGGCCAGATTTATGCTTCTCTTTCTGTATAAGTTTAAGACAAAATGTAGTTTTTGTTTTAAGTCAGAATGCTTTTTATGAATGTATTTATTTTAAGATCCTAGAAGGAACAGAATGAAGGTAGGCGTGTTACAGTTAGTAGCTCAGTACACATAGGAGGAAGTAGTTTTTCACTGGTTTGTCTTCTTGTGTTGTAGCATAGGCATTTGGTTTTCTATATCAAAAAGAGCCATTGGTGTGTTGGGGACTTAGTGTATATAACATATTGATATTTGGTCCCTAGGAGAGAGTTTCATTCCTAAAGTACTGGGATGGGATGAAAAGTTACCCAATTCAAAAGAAAGGAATTGGCAAATCCATGAGAAGTTGAGAGCAGGTGTCTAGCATGGCGCTATATTCCAAATTGTCACTTTTACCCTTTAGCCTTTCTGAAGGCTTTTCAGTGATTAGATTATGATCTTGACAAGTAGTCATGTGTTTGGATGCAAAGTGAGACTGGTAAGAAAATTCACAAAGCTGCTTTCTCTCAAAAGAAAAAAAACTGTATTTGACAGCATTCTGTGAACATAGCAAGATTATTTCTTATAGGTTAGATGGGCTGAGAAAGAAGAATCTGCCAGATTTTGCTTTTGTTATATTTTTGTTATATTTTGTTAATATTTTTAAATGATGAGTAGTATGTATAAATGTTCTTTATTTTAGGTACTAGTATAAAAATTTACATTAAAAATAATACTCCAAAACTTTCTTTACACAGATTAACAGATACACATTTTTAAAGCTTTTAATAATAATACCAAAAAATTTAAATGCAAAAATTTAAAATCTGAGGTAAGATTGCCCTTTGAAGCAAGCACAAGGGACTTAGAATATAGACTTAATTTCAGAATTTTGGTTCTGTGAGCAATCAGTTGTGATTGAACTTCAACTGTCAGGCTAAGTAGAGGATCAGATACTACTGTTGCAATATTCAATGCAGTTCAGTTGCTCAGTCTTGTCCTGACCCTTTGCGACCCCGTGGACTGCAGCATGCCAGGCTTCCCTGTCCATTACCAACTCCCGGAGCTTGCTCAGACTCATGTCCATAGAGTCATCCAACTATCTCATTCTCTGTCGTCCCCTTCTCCTGCCTTCAGTCTTTCTCAGCATCAGGGTCTTTTCTAATCAGTTGGCTCTTCAGAGCAAGTAGCCAAAATATTGGAGTTTCAGCGTCAGTCCTTCCAATGAATCTTCAGGACTGATTTCCTTTAGGATTGACTGGTTTGATCTCCTTGCAGTATTGGTTGACATTAAAATTTGATTTATGAGGAAATACAGAGTTTCCATTGCTACTTAATTTTTGTTTATAAGGGAATGGAGTTTCCATTTCCTGTTTTTATGCTGAGGTGTCTCTTTAGCCTAAGATCTAAGACTGCTTCTCTGTTTTAACAATTTCCCAGGTGAAAGGACAAGGTTGACCTATAATCCTAGATATTTCAAAAGCAAATATAAAGCTTTTGTGTGTTAATGATTAGAAACAAAGTACCACTGCTTGTTGTCTTTCAGATTATAGAATCATAGTTACTTAAAGTTTAAAATGAATAATTATGTACTACTGGTCATCACATTTAAAAGTCTAAAATCTCCTACTGTTTTTACCTGTCATAAAGCATATGTTTACAGTATCAGCACCAGGTGACAGTGCTTGGCTTGTTCCCAACATTCTGGATATGGTAGCTTTTCCTTCTTTAGATCCTTTCCTACTTCTCACATCTCTGGTTTTCATGAAAGTGTGATGAAAACTCAGATCTCTTTTATGAAAGGAAACCAAATTGGAAAACAGTGATGAGGTTTAATATGTAGCTCCTGCCAGATGTTAGTATTTTAATGGTAGAAAAACCTGGTGAATTACCTTCTAGTAGAATTTCAGAGATTAGATTGGAGTTGGAATTTAATTTCCTGGAAATTACATTAAATTACTAGAAAGGAAGTCTTCTATTGCAAGCCAGCTTTTTATGGAGTTATGATATTTCATGATCCTCATGTATCTTCAGCCATTTATGTAGACACTAAGGTTTGTGGCACTTTACTCATCATTGAGATAACCTCTTTGGAAAGAGAGGAAGAATTAGAAAGTATGCAGATTGCTTTACCTACAGCACTTAAGTTTTATGACTTTGACTTTTAATTCATCTTCCCATGTCCATACTCACCCAGTTCAGAAAAGAATTTGTCATTTATTGTCCATAAAACATTGTTACAAGTCATCAAAGGCATGATTCTATGCAGTGTCAATTTGGGATTTAACCATATTACTTAGATATTTTACATTCATAGTTGAAAACAGTCTTTCTGCTGTCCTTTGAAGAATAATCTTAATCTTCCCATTTTATTTATTTTTACCTATGAAAGTCACATGTTTAGGAAAAAGATTTTTTGTTTGTTTTTGGTTTAAACTGTAGAACCTTTTCTTTAAAAAAAAAAAAAGGCTTTGCTGTAAATTATGGGTTTTTGTTGTCACATTTCTTTCCTGTCTCAGTGCAGGCTATATGCTGAATTATATTTGAGTCTTATAATATGCTGAAGGTAGTATTTGCTGAAAGGTTTGGGGAAGTTTTGTAAAAAACAAGTATAATTAGATTTTAAAATCCTTCTGAACATAAAAGTTCAGATTTATATATAATACTTTTTGCCTGAAATTTGTATCCTTTATTGGACTAATATAGTAAGGTGAGCAAAAAGGTAATTAGTCCAAAAAATGCAAAAAGACCATTACAAATGGTTTTTTACTATCTGATATCAAGTTATATGAAAATATTTAGGTGTATTAGTATTTTTTTCTGATTGAATTTTGTTTTAGATGCCATTCTAAATATGGTGAATATTGCCGCTAATATTCTGGGAGCAAAAACTGAAGACCTGACAGAAGGTACCTAATCATTTTGTGGGTCTTTTAAATATATGATATGCCAGGGGTCTTCCTAGTTAGTAAAATTAATTAATAAGCCAAGCAGTTTGATTTTTTATTTAGAAATATAGAAACCATTCAAAGGAACTTGCCATCTTCTATTATTCATTGTTTATTTGAATTTCACAAGTTCTCTTTAATAAATAGGATCTTGTCTATATAAAAATCATTAATTTGATTTTTCACTCTTAACCTGCTGTAGAAGTAATGATTTTATCCTTAGTTCTTTCCTGAGGTTTTGATACTCTAATGGTTACTTGAAGTATGCTTTTATTTATCAAATAGCAATTCAATTTAGAAAGTAATAGAAATATGAATATTATGAACAAGGGGAAACAATCTTGCCCTTTTTTTGTTATCAAAAATGCTTCATTCCAGTTAATAAAATAAGTCATGGGGTTGTAATATATAACATGGGGAATGCAATGTGGTGGCAGATGGCAACTAGACTTATTGTGGTGATCATTTTGCAGTGTATACAAATGTATACAAATAACAAATTTCATGTTATACACATGAAAATGAATATAATGTTGTATGTCAAATATACTTCAGTAAAATTTAGTACTAAGTGCAAACTTAAAATGTCCCATTTATTTCTTCTTATTCTCTTTAGTAACTCCGGTATCTTATTAATCATGTAAGATTACACAAAACTCATAGTTATCTTCCTTGCTTTAATTTTCTGGGAAGTTGAGAAAGAATATGCACTACTTATAGTTGTGACTTTCAACGATTATTTCTTTTTAAAAGAACTTGATGGGAAAAAAAAAGCAGAGTCTGCAGTAGTAACCCTGTTTTCACTTTTTTTCTTCTCCCTTGAGAATCTAAAGTTCCTTATTTGTTATAGTGAAATATTTTCATGGTATAGCTTTTTAAAATTAAACTCAATATGGACATCTTTCTTAAAATAGGAAATAAAACTATATCTGAGAATGCTTCTGCCACAGCTGCACCCAAAATGCCTGAATCAGCTCCTGTTTCAGCTCCTGTTCCATCACATGAGTAAGTTATATTGGTTATTAGAGTTCTGTTAAAAGGGAGATATACTTGTATGTAAAAAGGTACTTGTGATTTGTGGGAAATGAAAAACTGAATCATGTGACAGACATTCCACAGCCACTAAAAACATCTTCGAGTTGCTTTTTGTATACTGGCAGTTCACCGTTGATAGACCAAATGTGTGTTATCTTGCTATAGTGTTACTTTTATTATTTACAATACTTAATCTTTTCCTTATTGCAAAAAATTAACTCTCAGGTATAAGTTTGAGGACAAATTTTAAAGACCTGTTTTTATTAAGTTAAGATTTAAAAGCCTTGATTATTTATATATCTGTGCTATGCCTAGAAAGCTATAAAGGGTACCAGAAATACTTAGAGCAGTGATTTTTAAATGATGTGTTGGTCACACAGTTTACTCTTAGAGTGTTCAGTTTCTGAAATTGAATGATACAGGTCTTTCCCGAGGTTGCAGTGGTTACTTTGAGCAGGGATATATATGCGTCAGTCAGGCAGTTCAGTCGCTCAGTCGTGTCCGACTCTTTGCGACCCCATGGACTGCAGCACCCCAGGCTTCCTGGTCCCTCACCAGCTCCCGGAGCTGCTCAGACTCTGGTCTTTCGAGACCAGAGGTAGAGGTGATTAGGGTCTGTTTGTGCCTCAGCCTCTGATCTGAAATAGGTAGGCTTATTGATGATTTGGGTTATTGGGATAGTCTGGTTATAGTTATTATAAATTTAGCTATGTATATTTTGTTAGATATACTCCCTGTAAACTTTGACAGACATTTCTCTCAGAGGAACTCTACATAATGAGATAAGATATTTACATGAAACAGTTCAAGGTAAATAAGTGATGAATCCTGCACTGAGTATGCTTTTGAGCTGTAATTCCAAGGTACTATGTTAATTTAAAAATGAGATTTTTGTGCTTTGAAGGGCACAGTGTCAAATTTGTGTTTTCCTGAAATATAACATTATGTGTTACTGATTCCTAGATGGTCCTAAGAAATCTCTTTGGGATAGAAATTCTTGACTGTCTCAGTTTTGTAACTAGGTTCTTCAGTGACTAACACATAATAGTATGTCTTTATTTTTCAAAACTAGATTAATTTTATTTTACACATAGATGCACACACACACACACACATATATTTACATTTATTCCCTTGTGTGTGTGTGTGTGTGTAAAGATTTATTGAAAGATACCACATCAAGCTAATGTAACAGTTTTTATTCTTCTGCTTTAGAGTTTTGTTTTTAGTAGATATTCTTGCATAACTTTCTTAATGTTTCTTCATGTATGTTTGTTTTAAATTCTTTTTGATGATTATATGGCAGTTCTGAAAAAAAAAAAAGAATCCGTGATGAAGTATCACTCAAAGTTTTTATGAAACGACTTACTTTCTTTTCCCAGGTTTGAGTTTTTTAAAGTGTAACTCTGATTAGAGTGTATACATAGATGATAGGGGTTCCCTGATGACTCAGGTGATAAAAGAATCTGCCTGCAATGTGGGAGACTTGAATTCGATCCTTGATCTTCCCTGTTGGGAAGATTCCCTGGAGAAGGGCATGGCAACCCATTCCAGTGTTCTTGCCTGGAGAATCCCCATGGATAGAGGAGCCTGGTGGGCTGCAGTCCATGGGGTCACAAAGAGAAGAACATGACTGAGCAACTCAGCACAGAACAAAGATAGTATAACTTAATTTTTACCAAATTAGTTCAATTTAGTTGTAAGAAATACTGTGTAGGGATTATATACAGCTGTCTGTATCTATATCATCTGTTAAGGGAAGCCTAGCCTAATTATGTTTTAATTTAGTCTGTTTACTATTTTACTGTCAACAAAATGAAAGTCCAGCTTTTAGATATTGTCTTTTAAAAAAAATTTCTGTAGAAAAACTTTTTTTAAAAAAAAATATGGACCATTTTTAAAACCTTTATAGAATGTTATGATATTACTACTGCTTTATGTTTTGGTTTTTTGACTCTGAGAATCTGTGATCTTAGCCTCCTGACCAGGGATCAAACCCATACCCCTGCATTGTAAGGCAAAGTTCCAGTCCCTGGACTGCAAAGGAAGTCCCTAGATACTGGTTTTTTTTTTTATTCCTACTTTGCTGTTGTGGTATTAGACTTCATTTAAAGACATTTCCTGACAATTTTAGTAGTGTTTCACAGTAGGAAAATTTGCACATGAAGATTTCTTTTTGGTATTCAAATTACTTTGTTTTTTCAAATTATACCATTGTTGCTACAAAGGCTGCACCTGGAAATTCATTACCTTTATCTTGGAAGGGACCACAGATATTATAATTTACAACACTGTTCCCACCAGTTTGAATTCCCTGCTCTTCCCTACTGGACACGCATACTCCAGAGCCCAAAGATAGGACTTAGTTAGTGACACTAGTAGTTTATTATTAGCCAGGATTTTCATTACAATAATTAAGTATTTAGCTTTCAGTAATTGAAAATTAGCCTAGATAATACTGAGATTATTTGGGGGGAGTAGGGATATTTTCTACTTTCTAGAGCAGATAATCGTGTGTGTGTGTGTGTGTGTGTGTGTGTAATGCCACATTGAAATTCCTCAAATCTCCACAGAGAATCTTTGAGAAATCTGCAGTTGACTCTTGAATAACGGGTTTGAACTGTACAGATCTACTTACACGTGGATTTATTTTGTTAGTAAATACTGCAGTACAGATGATCTCGGTTGAATCTGTGGATGCAGAGCTGAAGTATAGAGGAACTGTGGATATGGAGGACAGGCTGTGAGTTACACAGTGTGTAAGGCCAGCAACTCTGACTTGCTGCATACCGTTCAAGGGTCAACTGTAGGATGACTCTTGAAAGTAGGATACTCAGGCACAAAGTGCATTTGTAGTAAGGTCCTGGCTTCTTGTTCTAACTGGGACTTCCATAGCCCTTGGGTAGCTCAGTTTCTGGTATAAGGGGTGATAAAGCTTCTGATATTGGTGAATATGGGAGGAAGGGTATTATATTCACTAAATGGAAATATTCAGTAACGGTACTATGTTCAGTAAATGGAAATAATCACATAACTATTCTTAAGAGATTAAAGAAAAACTTGATTTGGTAAATATGGTGATTTGAATCATCTGGCTTGTCACTTGATAGATTATCTTTCTGTTCCCATTCCTGAATAATGCTGTTTTTATAATGAAAGTGATTTGAAGGATAGTAATTCATTCAAAGTAAATTCGAGTGCTTTCTGTACTTTCCCTTTTTATCTTATATGTGATACATTTATTTTCCTTAAGCATAATTATGGATATGTATTTCTAGGTTTGAAACCACTGGAGGACATGTACAAGACACCGAGTCACTGTCACCAGATCCTACAAAAGAAAGTCCCATTGTACAGCTAGTTCAAGAAGAAGAGGAGGAGGCAAGTCCTTCTACAGTGACCCTTCTGGGCAGTGGCGAACAAGAGGATGAAGCATCACCTTGGTTTGAGTCAGAGACACAAATATTTTGCAGTGAACTCACCACAATTTGTTGTATTTCTAGTTTTTCAGAATATGTATATAAATGGTGTTCAGTTAGAGTTGCTCGTTATCGGCAACGCAGCAGAACTGCTCTGAGTAAAGAAAAAGAGTATCTTCCATCAGCTGAACCACCACTAGTATTTCCTGAAGAACTAGTAGATGTTTCATTATTGCAGCCTCCAGGTGGAGAACCAGACAGTAAGAATAAGGAAAAGGAAGCTGAAACCATTGTTCTAGATGATTTAAGTGGTGTGCTCCAGGAAGATTTGATTAATCACACTTTAGATGCAATTGAACTTGAACCAAGCCATCCTCAAACTCTTTCTCAGTCTGTTCTCTTAGATATTACTCCAGAAATCAACTCATTATCTAAAATAGAAGTATCTGAGCCTATTAAATATGAGGCAGGGCATTCACCATCACAAGTGATTCCCCAAGACAGTTCTGTTGAGGTTGATGATAAAACAGAAAAAAGGTCTGAGAGTTTTAGTTCTATAGAGAAACCAGCTGTGATCTATGAAACAAAAATACTTGATGAAGTAATGGATAATGTTGTAAAAGAAGACATAAACTCCATGCAAATGACCACAAAGCTATCTGAAACAATAGTGCCACCTGTAAACACAGCTACTGTGCCAGACATTGAAGATGGGGAAGCCAAAATGAACATAGCTGACACACCAAAGCAAATTTCAACTCCTGTTGTGGATTCTTCTTCATTACCTGAAGTAAAAGAAGATGAACAGTCTCCAGAAGATGTCCTTTTAAGAGGGTTACAGAGGACAGCTACAGATTTTTATGCTGAATTGCAAAACTCCTCAGATCTAGGATATGCTAATGGAAATCTTGTACATGGATCAAACCAAAAGGAATCAGTATTTATGAGACTTAATAACCGTATTAAAGCCTTAGAAGTTAACATGTCTCTCAGTGGTCGCTACCTGGAGGAACTTAGTCAAAGGTAAGCTTTCTTATGAATTAGCACAATCCACTTTGCACGGTGATTTAAGTAGCAGAGTATAATCTGACTAAAGGAGAGGATTTAATTATCTCATGATTCCTTGGTGGCTCAATGGTTAAGAACTTGCCTGCCAATGCAGGAGACATGGCTTTAATGCCTGGGTCAGGAAGATCCCCTGGAGAAGGAAATGGTAACCCACTCCAGTATTCTTGCCTGGGAAATCCCATGGACAGAGGAGCCTGGCAGGCTATAGTCCATGGGGTCGCAAGAGATCAGTTACGGCTTAGCGGCTAAACAATGAATGTAGTAGTAATAAGCAGCATTTTAGCTGGAGAGAGAAAGTTATTTGGATGTTGGTCAGTAATTTTAAGAAGTGATTTCCATTTTTAGAAATACTGAGTGAGATAACAAATTTGAATTATCTGTATCAGTTTCTCCTTTCTCCTGTTGCTTAACTTTAGATACGTTTGCTGTTTGATTCCCACAGCACTCATGGCAAAATTTTTATAGACCTTGAAGCTCTTTGTGGAACTTGACTAGGTATTATTTAAGAATTTAAATAAGACTGGAATAGACTAAACTAGGTGATTAGGCAACATTTGAACTCTTTCAGCAAGTATCCAGAATCCTAGTCCTAGTTGTAACAATATACCTTCTTGTGCTTACAAAATGCCAGAGGCAATGCCAATTTGCTTATGCAGTGATGAAGACCCCTGGCACAGTTCTCCACTTAAGCCAATTTTTTTATTGTTGTTGTTCCTTAAGTATCATTGTGCCTTAGGACTTTCCCAGCATTTTGTAACCACAAGGCACTCAGTGCCCAGAATTTCTGAAATACTACCTTTTCCTAATCCTCTTAAATTAAAATGCTACTAATGAAATGTCCCTAAAGTCATTATTATTTGCTAAAAGATATTCTTAATTCATGCATATAATTTATTGGCAAATTTTATGTGGGTGTGTGTGCATGCTTGCATCATACTTGCTCAAGCCTCTCCCCACTCCCACCCTTTTTACCCTCACTAAAGGAATCACTGAAATCATGATAAACCTTTTTTTTTGAAATGTAATTGATGTGGAACATTATATTATTTCAGGTATAACAATGATTTGATATTTGTATATATACTAAATGATTACCAAACTAAATCTGTTAATATGATCACCATGTAGTTACAGGTTTTTTTCCTTGTGATAAGTTTTAAGATCTACTCTGTTAGCAACTTTCAAATATACAATCCACTATTATCAACTGTAGTCAACATGCTATACGTTATATTCTGATTCAGTTAAGTTTAGTCGTGTCTGACTCTTTGTGACCCCGTGGGCTGCAGCATGCCAAGCCTCCTTGTCTATCACCAACTCCTGGGGCTTACCCAAACTCATGTCCATTGAGTCAGTGAGGCCATCCAACCATCTCATCCTCTGTTGTCCCCTTCTCCTGCCCTCAATCTTTCCCAACATCAGGGTCTTTTCAAATGAGTCAGCTCTTCACATCAGGTTGCCAGAGTATTGGAGTTTTAGCTTCAATGTCAGTCCTTCGAATGAATGCCCAGGACTGATCTCCTTCAGGATGGACTGGTTGGATCTCCTTGCAGTCCAGGGAACTCTCAAGAGTCTCCTCCAACACAACAATTCAAAAGCATCAGTTCTTCGGTGCTCAACCTTCTTTATAATCCAACTCTCACATCCATACATGACCACTGGAAAAACCATAGCCTTGACTAGACGGACCTTTTTTGCAAAGTAAAGTCTCTGCTTTTTAATATGCTGTCTAGGTTGGTCATAACTTTCCTTCCAAGGAGTAAGCATCTTTTAATTTCATGACTGCCAGTACCATCACTTTGTGGCAAACAGATGGGGAAACAATGGAAACAGTGGCTGACTTTATTTTTTTAGGCTCCAAAATCACTGCAGATGGTGATTGCAGCCATGAAATTAAAAGACACTTGCTCCTTGGAAGGAAAGTATTGACCAACCTGGACAGCATATTAAAAAGCAGAGACATTACTTTGTCAACAAAGATCCATCTAGTCAAGGCTGTGGTTTTTCCAGTGGTCATGTATGGATGTGAGAGTTGGACTATAAAGAAGGTTGAGCGCCGAAGAACTGATGCTTTTGAACTGTGGTGTTAGAAGACTCTTGAGAGTCCCTTGGATTGCAAGGAGATCCAACCAGTTCATCCTAAAGGAGATCAGTCCTGGACGTTCATTGGAAGGACTGATGTTCAAGCTGAAACTCCAATACTTTGGCCACCTGATGCGAAGAGCTGACTCATTTGAAATGACCCTGATGCTGGGAAACATTGAGGGCAGGAGGAGAAGGGGACGGCAGAGGATGAGATGGTTGGATGGCCTCACTGACTCAATGGACATGGGTTTAGGTGGACTCCGGGACTTGGTAATGGACAGGAAGGCCTGGCATGCTGCGGTTCATGGGGTCACAAAGAGTCAGACACGACTGAGCGACTGAACTGATGGGACTGGATGCCATGATCTTAGTTTTCTGAATGTTTAGCTTTAAGCCAACTTTTTCACTCTCCTCTTTCACTTTCATCAAGAGGCTCTTTAGTTCTTCTTCACTTTCTACCATAAGGGTGGTGTCATTTGCATATCTGAGGTTATTGATATTTCTCCCAGCAATCTTGATTCCAGCTTGTGCTTCATCCAGCCCATCCTTTCTCATGATGTAGTCTGCATATAAGTTAAATAAGCAGGATGACAATATACAGCCTTGACGTACTCCTTTTCCTATTTGGAACCAGTCTTGTTCCATGTCCAGTTCTAACTGTTGCTTCCTGACCTGCATACAGATTTCTCAAGAGGCAGGTCAGGTGGTCTGGTATGCCCATCTCTTTCAGAATTTTCCACAGTTTGTTGTGATCCACACAGTCAAAGGCTTTGGCATAGTCAGTAAAGCAGAAATAGATGTTTTTCTGGAACTCTCTTGCTTTATTGATGATCCAGCCAATGTTGGCAATTTGGTCTCTGGTTCCTCTGCGTTTTCTAAAACCAGCTTGAACATCTGGAAGTTCTCAGTTCACGTATTGCTGAAGCCTGGCTTGGAGAATTTTGAGCATTACTTTGCTAGCATGTGATATGAGTACAATTGTGTGGTAGTTTGAGCATTCTTTGGCATTGCGTTTCTTTGGTATTGGAATGAAAACTGACCCTTTTCCAGTCCTGTGGCCACTGCTGTTTTCCAAATCTGCTGACATATTGAGTGTAGCACTTTCACAGCATCATCATTTAAGATTTGAAATAGCTCAACTGGAATTCATCACCTCCACTAGCTTTGTTTGTAGTGATGCTTCCTAAGGCCCACTTGACTTCACATTCCAGGGTGTCTGGCTCTAGGTGAGCAATCACACCATCATCATTATCTGGGTCATGAAGATCTTTTTTGTACAGTTCTTCTGTGTATTCTTGCCACCTCTTCTTCATATCTTCTGCTTCTATTAGGTCCATACCATTTCTTTCCTTTATTGAGCCCATCTTTGCATGAAATGTTCCCTTGATATCTCTAATTTTCTTGAAGAGATCTCTAGTCTTGCGCATTCTATTTTCCTCTATTTCTTTGCACTGATCACTGAGGAAGGCTTTCTTGTCTGTCCTTGCTATTCTTTGGAACTCTGCATTCAAATGGGTATATCTTTCCTTTTCTCCTTTGCTTTCCACTTCTCTTTTTTTCACAGCTATTTGTAAGGCCTCCTCAGACAACCATTTTGCTTTTTTGCATTTCTTTTTCTTGGGGGTAGTCTTGTTCCCTGTCTCTTGTACAATGTCACGAACTTCCGTCCATAGTTCATCAGGCACTCTGTCTGTCAGATCTAGTCCCTTAAATCTATTTCTGACTTCCACTGTATAATCGTAAGGGATTTGATTTAGGTCATACCTTAATGGTTTAGTGGTTTTCCCCACTTTCTTCAATTTAAGTCTGAATTTGGCAATAAGGAGTTCATGATCTGAGCCATAGTCAGCTTCTGGTCTTGTTTTTCCTGACTGTATAGAGTTTCTCCATCTTTGGCTGCAAAGAATATAATCAAGCTGATTTCAGTATTGACCACTGATGATGTCCATGTGTAGAGTCTTCTCTTGTGTTGTTGGAAGAGGGTGTTTGCTATGACCAGTGTGGTCTCTTGCAAAACTCTATTAACCTTTGACCTGCTTCATTCTGTACTCCAAGGCCAAATTTGCCCGTTACTCCAGGTGTTTCTTGACTTTCTACTTTTGTATTCCAGTCCCCTATAATGAAAAGGGCATCTTTTTTAGATGTTACTTCTAGAAGGTCTTATAGGTCTTCATAGAAGCATTCAACTTCAGCTTCTTCAGCATTACTGGTTGGGGCATAGTCTTGGAGGGTTACCGTTATATTGAATGGTTTGCTTGGAAATGAACAAAGATTATTCTGTCGTTTTTGAGATTGCATCTAGTAATGCATTTTGGACTCTTTTGTTGACTATGATGGCTACTCCATTTCTTCTAAGGGATTCCTGCCCACAGTAGTAGATATAATCGTCATTTGAGTTAAATTCACCCATTCCAGTCCATTTTAGTTTGCTGATTCCTAGAATGTCGACCTTCACTCTTGCCATCTCCTATTTGACCACTTCCAATTTACCTTGATTCATGGACCTAACATTCCAGGTTCCTATGCAATATTACTCTTTACAGCACTGGACCTTGCTTCTGTCACCAGTCCCATCCACTACTGGGTGCTGTTTTCACTTCTACTCCCCCCTTCATTCTTTCTGGAGTTATTTCTCTATTAATCTCCAATAGCATATTGGGCACCAACCTACCTGGGGAGTTCATCTTTCATTGTCCTGTCTTTTTGCCTTTTCATATATTCTTATTACTTCATCATTTTAAGTTTTACCTTTTGCCCACCTCTACCCCCTGCAATTGACAGTCACCAGTCTGTTCTCTGTTATCTATGAGTTTAAGATTTTTGTTTTTAATTCCACATGTAGGTGAGATCATATATTTGTCCTTCTCTGACTTGTTTCACGTAGCGTAATGCCCTCAAGGTCCACCCATGTTGTCAGAAATGGCAAAACTTCCTTCTTTTTTATAGTTGCATAATATTCCATGGTATACACATACCACATTTCTTTATCCATTCTTTTGTTGATTAGTTAACTTCCACATCATGGCTATTGTACATAATGCTGCAGTGAATTTGGGGATGCAGATATCTTTGCAAGATAGTGCTTTTTGTTTCCTTCAGATAAATGCTCAAAAGTGGAATGGCTAAGTCATATGGTAGTTCTGTTTTTAATTTTTTGAGATACTATCATACTGTTACCTGTAGTGGCTACACCACAGGCTACACTACATTCCTGCTAACTGTACAAGGGTTCTTGTTTTTCTACATCCTCTCCAACATGTTATTTTTTTTTTTTGTCTTTTTGATAATAGCTGTTTTAATAGATGGGGAGGGGGTGATAACTCATTGTGATTTTGATTTGCATGTCCCTTATGATGTTGAGTATCTTTTCATCTTCTTCCATCTATTTGTTTTGTTTGGGAAGATATTCAGATTCTCTGCCAATTTTTAAATGGTTTGTTTTTTGCTGTTGAGTTGTATGAATTCTGTATGTTCTCAATATATTGGATATTAACCACTTATAAGATTAATTAATGGCTTGCATATATTTTCTCCCGTTTGGTAGGTAGCCTTTTCATTTTGTTGATGGTTTCTTTTGCTGTGTAGCTTTTCAGTTTGATATAGTTCAACCTGTTTTTGCTTTTATTGCCTTTGTTTTTGGTGTTAAATCCAAAAAAAATTTCCATGACTGAATTGAAGGAACTTTTACTGCCTGTGTTTTCTTCTAGGAGTTCTTGTTGTTTCAGTTTTTACATTAAGTCTTTTATACATTTTGGGTTTTTTATGTATGGTGTAAGATAGGGGTCCAGTTTCTCTTGCCTGTGGGTGTTTGGTTTTCCTAGCACCATTTATTGAAGTGACTGTCCTTTCCCTGTTGTGTATTCATAGATCTTTTGTTATAAATTGACTATGTGTTTGACTCGTAAATCTTCTGTAGCAACAAGGAGCTTAGAATTGCTGTTGAGGTAGCAAATACCTCAAGGGACCTCTTTATTTTACCTTTATAAGTTTTCCTTTATTGCACAGACCTCAATAAGAGTCATTTTCAGAAATATGGCTTTATCTCATATATTGAAATCAGAAGTGTATTTCCAATAATAAATTAGTAAATAAATTAAAACCAATTTAAATCAATTCTTACTCCACAGGTACCGAAAACAAATGGAAGAAATGCAAAAGGCTTTCAATAAAACAATAGTGAAACTTCAGAATACTTCAAGAATAGCAGAGGAGCAGGTTGGTCATCTTCATGTCTTACTTTTTACATAAAGTTCCATTGAATTTTATAGGCTGTCTCTGGTAAGAAGGATCAGTAATGTTGTTCACTTTTTCCCTGATAGTTGATGATTACTCTGTAATACAATGTTTTCTAGCTCTTAGTATCAGTATATACCCAAGAGAAAATTTTCTTGAGCATTATTCATGTTACATTTCTAGATTTGTATGTATATATATGTGGGTAGAAGTGTAGTGGACTTTTTTGAAATTTTGTTACACTCTAAAATCATTTGTGGGTTTCTATATAGACAATTTTTTGTTTGTAAGAATAGCTCTATTTCATTTTAATCCTTGTACTTTTTTCTTCTTGTTTACTCTTACCTATTACTTAGAGCTATACAGTGATGCAATAGGACTGGTGATAGTAGCCATTTCCCTGTCTTGTTGATTTTAAGGGATTGATTTCTGTATTTCACCATTAAATGTGATGTTCATGAATAATTTTTTTTTATGGTTTGTTACCATGTTGAAGAAATTTTATACTTTTCTAAGGCTATTTGGGACTAAAGGATGATGACATGAGGTAAAAAAGTCTCAAGTTGCAGAGTTGCATCTTACTCTGAATTTGTGACACATAAGTGTGGTTCCAAGTAAAGTTCTTCCAACCTGCCTTTTTTTTTTTTAGTTGAGGTTTGAAAGTTATTTGCATATTCTAAGTACAAGTTCTTTATCAGACACAGGCTTTGCAAATATTTTCTCCCAATCCATTACTTGTTTTCTTATTCTCTTAAAAAAGATACCTTTTAAAGAGCAGAATTTGTTAAAACCCTGTTTACCTGTTTTCTCTTAGCTCTACAGAAACTTTGCCTAACCCAAAGTCACAAAGATTGTTTGCCTGTTTTTTCTTTTAAAATTTCTATAGTTTTAATTTTACGTTTGGTATATGATCTATTTTAAATTCTATGTATTATAGTGTTATAAAGTATGGATCAAAGTGCTTTTTTGTGAGGGCTAGGGGATTGAGAAACATGAATATTCCTTTCTTCCAGCATCATTTGTTGAAAACACTATCTTTTCTCCACTGAATTTTCTTTGTACTTATTTTAAGTACATTCACCATATACATGTGGCTGTGTTTCTGGGTTTCTCTTCTGTTCTGTTCATCTTACTTGTCTGTCTTTTTGTTTATACTACACTGTTGTGATGGCTAACTATATAGGAACTCTTGAAAGCAGATAGTGTGAATCCTCCAACTTTGCACTTCCTTTCCAAAATTGTTTTGGCTAATCTGGATTTGACTAACATAGATTTTAGAATCAATTTGTCAGTTGCTACCAGAAACAAACACAAACCTGTTTGGATATTGATTGGGGTTATGCTGAATTTATAGATCAATTTGGAGAGTTGACATTTTAATAGTCTTAAGTCCTCTGTCCCATGAACACAGTATTTATTTAGTTCTTTATTAATATTTCCCTCTATATTTTCTGTTTGCTTTATATGTAAGTCTGTGTTTTATGAAAGATTATTTAAGTACTTTTTAAATAATCTTGTGTACCATTAGCACTGTTGGAAGTAAATCTTGATTAGAAGTGTTAACCAATATCATAAATTTAATAATTTGTCCTTTAAAACTGTCTGCAGTTTATCAGTGTTTGTTAAATGTGAGTCAAAAGAAACAGTTTAATGACTCACATTCAGCATTTTAAAAAGATGAAATAGGATAGAAAGTACTACAGTGGATCACAATGAGGGAAGTAAGTGAAACTTTTTGTTATAGTTTTATACATCCACCTACTCTCCACCCCAACCCCCCCATACATAGTCGAGACTTAAAACCTATTTAAATGTAAAGTTGAAACATTTAACTTTAGAATCATAAATGGCTAGGTGTAGATATTTCATAAAAGATCCTAAATTAAAGTGTTAGATTTCCTTGACTTCCTGCTGCCTTTTCCTTCTTCCAAAATTTACTAGTAAGTTACACATTTTCAGTACAGTCTACTTAATGTAAGTTCATGACCATGAGCATATTGCATAAGCTTCTAAAATATGCATGTAAGTAATATTTTAAATAAAGACATGTTTGTTGATTATAAGTTTCTAAAATTCTGATAGATGGGTGTTCTTGATGAATTTCTTTTCACTGGTGATAACCCAGCTTTGATTAGATGATCCATTGTCGTTTTTTGACTGTGACTTCCTAAGTTTCACCCTATCATGCTGTGAAATAGAACTTTTAAAACCTTCTTGGTATGAGCCTGCTTTGTATCCAGAAACATTCTTCAAAAATTTTTCAATATGTCTTTGTATTGACTGCTTTGGTTTAGAAAAATCACACTTGACAAAATGACGATTTTGCAGGTAGCTGGTTATATACTGGTTTACACATACGGAGCCCACATTAAGTTGAGAAGTAGTTTATTAGAATTTACTAGGCAATATTCTACATGGTAGCAGTGAATGGCAAAAGGTGTTTTTGTTTGCTCAGATAGGGGAGAAAGGTTGAATAGTCTTAATTAGGTTCTTAAGGGTTTTAGATTTTTTTTAAAAAATTTCTGGTCCAGATTTATAATATTCATTCATTAAGAGCTACCTATTAATATGTCACTCTGCCTTGAGGAATTTAGCAGTTTTTTTAGATTATTTTATTTGAATTTATAATGTAGCTAATGTGTACATGAAACACAAAGGAAAATATTTATTTCTTCCTTTATTACAGGATCAGCGGCAAACTGAAGCCATCCAATTGCTGCAAGCACAGCTGACCAATATGACACAGCTTGTTTCAAATTTATCAACAACAGTAGCAGAATTAAAACATGAGGTAATGTAATTAGCCTCCAACTAATAAAAGTAAATGAAAAAAAAAAGAAATAAAAATATTAAAAAAAAAAACATGAGGTAATTGTTATTGATGGTACTGTAGGAAACAGTGTCATAAAGGTTGGCTTCATATCTAAGAACTTTAATCCAAGAAGATTGTCATTTATAGAGAACTTTTTCAGAACACCAGAATGTGGTAGTTTAAAGTTAGGGAAATACATTAATTATCATAATGCTTTGGAAAACATGGCTTTCATAGCTTAGGTCTTACCTACAATACAGTTATAAAGCAATTCTATTAGGTCTTTTGAAAACCATTGGTAGGTGCAGTATATACTTCATTTTCAATTTATAAAGGCTTATTATTAAGTTGCTTGCTGCTGCTCAGTTGTGTCCAACTCTGCGCCTCCATGGACTAGAGCCCACCAGGCTCCTATGTCCATGGGATTTTCTAGACTAGAATACTGGAGTGAGTTGCCATATCCTTCTCCATGGGATCTTGCCAACCCAGGGATCAAACCCGTGTCTCCCGTGCGTTTCCTGCATTGGCAGGTGGATTCTTTTATTTACCACTGAGCCACCTGGGAATCCCCATTAAGCTGCTTAATGAAACAAACTTTTCATTGATTTAAGAAGCATTTATTGCAACACAAGTGTGTGTCAGGCATGAACTGTCCAATCCTTGGTTTAGGCATACAGCAGTCAGTAGCACCTGTCAGAGAATGAAACGTATATGTGTGAACTGGTGGTGCTTTAAGTGTTGCTGCCTTAGCTCAGGTGATGTTGGAAGGCTTACCTGAGGAAGTGGCGTTAGAACTGAGTGCTCAAGAGAAATTAGCATGCACACATAGCTTGGGGTCAGAACAAGCCTGTTAGTAGCACAAGTAGGACAAAGGACCTGTGATTAAAAACAGTGTAATATGTTTGGGAAAGAAGGTTGGTGTGCAATACATAACAGACATCATTCCACGTTCGTTCATGGAGAGCTACTTCATCCCCGGATTCTGTAGTTTGCACTGTGGCCTGGCATTCCTGTGTGTTTATGCACTTAGCCCCTGAAGCCAAGTGCATAGTTTCTAATGTTTTGCTTGATAATTAATTTTGCAACAAAGGTCTTAATTCACCAAAAAAAAAAAAAAAAAAGGAAGAAGAAAACTGGTGTAGCTGGAGCAGAGTGAATGTGAGAGGTGAGGGTAAGAAATGAGTTTAGGAAATCCACAGAGACCTGGTGATGAAGCCCTTTGTAGGCGGTTTAGGGTTTGAATTTTATTCTCATCATTGCAAGTCATTGGAAAGTATTAAGTAAAGAAGTAACATGGATCATTTCATTGACAACACTTTGAGAACTCCCTACTTGTTGCTCTGTGGAAAATTGCTTCTTAGAGACCGTCTAGACAGCAACTAGGGAGGAAACCAATTAAGGAAGCGATTGAAATAGCCTGAATGAGGTGATGTTGGCTTGGTTTAGGATTTTAGAAGTGGGGAATAGTGTGGAGTTGCTAAACTCAGGATATATTTAAGAGGTAGAAGGACAAGCTTGTTGGGAATTTGGATGTAGGTCATAAGGAATTAAGGGTGATCTTTAGACTTAAATCAGTAGGTAATGGGTGGTTTAGTTTTGTATGAGAAAGACAGGTAGCATTTTTTTTTCTCACTCAAAAGGATAGTACAAATGATAAAAAATGAAATGTATGTGGCACAATGTAAGATTGGAGAACATAGGTGAAAGGCATACATATGTTCATTGTACTATTTTTAAAACTTTTCCATGGGTTTGAAAATTTTTAAAGAATTAGAGGGGGAAAAAAGAAAAAGGAAAACGTTGCCTTTGTAGTATATTTTCAAAGGACTTGCCCTGCATTTATGGTTTTGAAGAACTTTGAAAAAAAAGTTGAAAATGGTTTGTCATTTGAACTTTAAATTTCAGTGTTTTTTTTCCTAATATGATTTTCAAATTGTTATTAAGCTCTCTTCTCGTCTCAGGTTTCAGATCGACAAAGCTATCTTGTCATATCTTTGGTTCTCTGTATTGTCTTGGGACTGATGCTTTGTATGCAGCGTTGTCGAAACACTTCTCAATTTGATGGAGATTATATTTCAAAACTTCCTAAAAGTAATCAGTATCCAAGCCCTAAAAGGTAAGTCAGCATTATTTAACAATTTTCCTCTTATTTGAGAAACTTGAGCAAGTAAAAGATACTGAGATAATTTCTTTCGCCATATGATTATCTTGAAACCAAAATGTTAAAAATGTCATTGGAACTAGTGAGAGGGTCCTGTGCCTGGAAGGTTCTGTAGACTCTGATAGAGAAAACACTGAGTACATAAAAAACCCATGTAATGGTTATGAAAGATACTTCAACATGGAATTCAAAGGGGGAGGAGGAGAATAGGTATTTTAATACAGCACCTTTTAGAGAATAATTGTTGAATCTTTTTTTTACATGTGTTATCTATAACTGGAGTGTTACCTTAGAGATAAGTCCTATATGGCATGTAGTTTTCTAGCATTCACCTAACCCCAAATACAGAATAAATTATATGTATTTTACTCATTGTTCCCAATGTTGATTTTTCTTAATGTTAGGTGTTTCTCTTCCTATGATGATATGAGTTTGAAAAGGAGAACTTCATTTCCACTCATCAGATCCAAGTCTCTACAGTTAACTGGGAAAGAAGGTAGATTTTTGTGCATATGTAACATGTATATAGAAAAGTGAATCTAGCTTCCTTCTAGAACAAGTGTAATGTCAGTGTTGTGTTGGAGACCATCTGCAACCTAACAGTGGGTATGAGTGGCCTTTGTTTGTGCTGTGTCAAAGCCACTACCATTTCTACACTTTATCTTTGTTCCTAAAAACCCAGAGGGTGGGGCGGGAGGGGCTTAGTTTAATTAGCCGTTAATTAGCCATTGATAGCCTGTTTGCACATGCTCCTGTTTAGAAGTATTTCTTTTTAGAAAGGGGTGTTTGACAAAGTTCAGCAGATATGGAAAACCTGAATGTGCTCCCATAGTATCCTGTGCTTATCTGCCTCCTCTTCCTATACAGGTAGGACCCCTTTTGTCTCTAGGACTGTGAGGCACTTTATGAAAAATAAATCTTTTTCTTTTTTACAGTCCAAGGTCTATAATAGTATTCCATAGTCTAACAATTGATGAATACTTAATAAATGAATGAATGTGTACTGAGTGGCTTTCATGTATCAGTACTTTTTAATAATTAGTATTGTAATTAGTGCTTACTGAGACCTCTTCATAGCAATATTAAAATAACCAAATTAATTGTGTATTTCAGCTAGTGCTTTCTTAATAATCATTGGATCTTTATCTTTAGGATTTAGTCACTGAGCAGTGTGTTTCAATTGGTTAAATATTAAAACAATCATTCCTGTGCTGCTCTGGTTTACTGTTACCATGAAACTTTACGGACTTAGTCCATTACATGTGTGTTTCCTTAAAACTAGTAAATTTCTTCCTACTTCCTGCTCTTTTCTTTTTTTTTTTTTCTTTTGGCTGATGTCTTTTTATAACTGAATTTTTTAAGTTTGGTGGATTTTCACAAACCACACATAACTATGTGACCAAACACCCAGATTAAGAAGTCCAGCATTATCTAGCACCCCAGAAACTTCCTTGTGCTCCTTAGTCACTACCCATTTCCTCTCAGTAGAGTCACTGCATATTTTGATAGTGTGAGATTCACCATGTCGTTGAGTATAGTTGTAGTTAGTGTTGCCTTATGCAAACATACTACGCATTATTCGTTTCCATTGGATTATTTTCTTGCATATGCACATCTGTTGGGTATATAGCAGAAATGGAATTGCTGGATCATAAGATTGTGTGTACTCCACTTTAGTAAATAACTACCACACAGTTTGCCAAGAATGTTGTGTGAACATTCAGCTGTTTTTTAGAGTTCCATTTGTTCCACATCCATATTAAGATTTAACATTTAGTATTGTTGATCTTTTAGCTGTATTTGTGTGATTATGAAGTATCAATATTTTGAGGTGTTTTTCCTCCTCAGCATTTCTCGTCCCATTCTAAATTAGTTGAAAGCCTGTTTCTCTTCTCTTCATGTAACTCTTCAAGGCCAGGTAGTATAGCCTTTTGTACCTGATAGTAGTATTACTTGTATTTTAAACAACTGTATCATCTTGGTTCATCTTTATAATTTAAGAAGTTGAGTACAATAGGAAACTAATTCTGATTCTGCTATTAATTAATTCATTTATTTCTTCTCCTAATTTGAATTAAATCTCTTCTTATGACATTTACTATTGTCTACTTTGATTTTCGCCATCTTGTACTTGCCTTATTTTTAATTTCAAACTCTATGAGAAGGGTCCATTTCTTATTTTGTTTTCTTATTGTAGTAAAAAGACATACAACATAAAATTTACCATCTTGAAATTTAAGTTTCTCTTAGAAATGTAATTGTTATGTATATACTTAAGTCATGTTTAGTATGTTCACAATGATGTAAAACAGGTCTCCAGAAGTTTTTCATTTTGTAAATCTGAAACACTGTATTTATTAAACAACTACCTTTTTCCCCTTCCTCCCAGCCCCTGGTCACCTTCAGTGTGTTTTCTGTTCTTGTGAATTTGAATACTTCAGATACCTTATATAAGTGAAATCATATACTATTCATCTTTCTCTGACTGGCTTATTTCACTTAGCATAATGTCCTCAAGTTTCATCCATGTTTTAACATGTGACAGGATTTATGTTTAAAGACTGAATAATATTATGTTATACAGATAGATACTATACTTTGTTTATTCATCTGTTGATGGGCACTTGGGTTGCTTCTGCCTCTTGGCTATTGTGAAATAATGCTGCTGTGAACATGAGTGTGCAAATATGTCTTTAAGTCCTTGCTTTCAGTTCTGGATATGTAGTTGGCCCTTGAACAGTGCTGGAGTTAGGGCCACCGAATCTGTACAGTTGAAAATACATATATAATTTAGAGCTAGCCCTCCGTATCCGTGGTTCCTTCATATTCGAGGTTCTGTATCCATGGAGTCAGCCAACCACATGTTATGTAGTACTGTAGTATTTACTGCTGAAAAACAATCCACATATAAATAGACTCACATATCCAGGTATAAGTAGACTTCAAACCCATGTTGTTAGAGGGTCAACTGTGTACTCAAGTGTGATTGCTGAATCATATGGTAGTTCTGTTTTTTGAAGAACCTTTACAGTGTTTTCCATAGTGCTTGCACCATTTTACAGTTCCACCAACAGTGCATAGTGGTTCCAGATTTCTCCACATCCTCACCAATACTTGTTTTCTGTTTTGATAGTAGCCATCCTGATGGGTGTGTGGTGATAACCTCATTTTCCTTTTGATTTGTGTTTCTCTGATGATTAGTGATGTTGATCATCTTTTCATATGCTTGTTGGCCATTTGTAAATCATCTTTGAAGAAATGTCTATTGAAGTCCTTTGCTCATTTTTAAACCAAGTTATGTTTTGCTTAATTATAGGAGTTCTGTATATTCTGGATATTAATCCTGCATCAAGTATATGATTCATAGATACATTCTCCCATTTTGTAGGTTGCATTTTCACTCTGATGATTTTGTCCTATGATGGACAAAAACTTTTTAAGTTTGATGTAGTCCTGTTTGTCTCTTTTTGCTTTTGTTGCTTCTGCTTTAACTGTCACATCCAAGAAATCATTGCCAAGGCTAGTGTTATAAAGTTTTTATAACTTTTTGGAAAAAGAAACTGTATAACACTGGCCTTGTATGTGACATTTAAAGTACAAGCAACAAAAGCAAAAACAAAGAGGACCACATCTATTTTGAGTTATTTTTTGTATATGATGTAGGATAAGGGTTCAGCTTCATTCTTTGCATGGGGATATCCAGCTTTCTAGCACTGTTCATTGAAGAGACTGTTCATTCCCCATTGAATGGTCTTGGCACCCTTGTTGAAGGTTATTTGACCATTTGTGTGAGGGTTTGTTTCTGGACTGTTTTTTTTCCCCCGGTTCTATATGTCTGTCTTTATACCAGTACTGTTTTGATTATTATGTTTGAAATCAGGCAGTGTGAGTCCTATAACTATTATTCTTTTTCACAATGGCTTTGCCTATTTAAGGTACTTGGGATTTGATATGAATTTTAAGATGCATTTCATTAAAAAAAGAATGCTATTGGAATTATGATAGGGCTTATGCTTAATCTATAGATCGTTTTGGTAGTATATGGACATCTTGGACAATATGAAGTCTTCCAGTCGTGAACATGAGATATCATTCAGTTTGTTTGTACCTTCTTTAATTTCTTTCATCAGTATTTTATAGATTATACTTAGATTTGCATCTCTGACTTTTGTTGAGCATCCAAGTAGACCTAAACTATTTTGATTTTTGTAATACATTTTTGTTGTGAAATATGTGAAATACCAAAAAGTGCATAAAACTGAAGTGTACAACATGCAGAGTAATTATAAAGTGAACACCTGTGTAACTAACACCCAGATCAAGAAATAGAGCAAGACCAGCACTTTTGATATTGCTTCTTGTAGAGGTAACTATCTTGACTTTTGAATTAGTTGTCATCTTCATTTTCATAAGTTTTACCATCATTGTTTGTGTTTCTCAGTGATATAATTGGATTTTTGCCTGGTTTTGAGCTTTTGATAAATGAAATTATACTATATATACTCTTTTTGCCTTCTTTCCTTCAGCATTCTATTTGTAAGGTTCATATGCATAATTGTACTTCATTTTCAATATTGTATAGTATTTCAGTAACTGACTAAATTACAATGTAGTTATCTGTTCTGCTGTGTTATTTACAGTTTGGGGCTATTACAGATAATGCTAGTGTAAACATTCCCTTTGTTTGTATATAGGCACAGAGTTGCATAAGTTTCTCTAGGAATGTTTTTGTTGTGTTGCTAAGTCATTTCCTACACTTTTGCAAGCCCATGGATTTTTGCAAGCCTACCAGTCTCCTCTGTCCATGGGACTTCCCAGACAAGAATACTGGAGTGGGTTACCATTTCCATCTAGGGTGGAGGGAGTAGGGGATGGAATCTTTCTGCCCCAGGAGTTGAAGCTGCCTGCTTGGCAGGTGTATTCTTTGCCGCTGATCCACCTGGGAAGCCCCCTCTAGGAATATTACCTAGATGTAAAATTGCTGGGTTGTAGAATATGCTTATCTATAAGTTATAAGGTAATAGTATAGTTTTCCAAAGTGGTCATATCAGTTTATCCTTCCACCAGTACCTTGAGAATTTCCATTTTCTACACTTTTGCCAGCGCACAGTCAGCATTGTCAAGTTTTAAAGTGTTTGTTAACCTCATTTCAGTTGTAATTTGCATTTACGTGATTACTAGTGAAGTTGAGCATGCTTACTTAGGCGTTTTAATCATTTGACTTTCTTAGACATTGAAATTTTTGCCTGTTTTTTTATTTGGTTGTTTATCTCTTCCTTGTTGGCTTATAGTTAGTTTTAAAATTTGTATACTAATTGTTAGTTCGGTAATGTTGCAGTTAATCTTGTTTCACTCTTGAGGCTATTTATTTTCTTTTACATGGAGTCTTTTTAAATAAGAAAAAGAAGCTCTTAATTTTAATGTAATTAAACTTATGAAATTGTTTTTCCTGGTGTAGTTAGTGCTTTTTCTGTCTTGTTTAAACAAATTTTTTTTTTTTTTTACTGTTTATGGATGATAGTCTCTTATAGTTCTAGTGTTTGGTTTTTATTTTTAGATTTCTAAGATACCTGGAATTGATTTTTTGTATGTGTTTTTAGGAAGGGAATCCATTGTAAAATTTGTATGAAATTCAGTTGTTGCTCAGCCATTACTGGGTTTTTGTTTCCATGTAAATTTAGAATCATTTATTAAGTGTTTCATTGAAAAATTATTAGGCTTTTGGTTGATCACATTGATTCTACATATCAATTTGGGAAGAACATAGCATCTGTGTGTAGTCCCAAAAGTCAAACTTTTGAAAGCTTTGTTTCTAGAATATTTTTTGATGCTGTAGAGAATGGCATTGTGTGTGTGTGTGTGTGTGTGTTTATTGCTGGTATGTAGAAACGCAGTGGATTTTGGTGCTATTGACATTTGCCATATTCTTTGATTCTCTTCTTGCTGGATCTTCGGGTAGAGGAGTGTTGAAGTCACCAGCTATAATAGTAGGTTCATCTGTTTCTTCTTGTAGTTCTACCAGTTTTTGCCTCATGTATTCTGTCATTCTGTGAGATGCATACACATTAAAGATTGTTATGCTTTTTGGATAATGGGCCCCTTTATCATCATGAAATGTCCCTCTTTATCCTGAATAAATTTCCTTGCTCTGAAGGTTACTCTCTCTGAAATTAATATGCCATTCCTGCTTTCTTTTGATTTGTGTTAGCATGGTATATCTTTTTTCATCCCTGTTCCCTTAATCTATATCTGTCTTTATATTTAAAGTGGACTTCTTATGAGCAACATATGGTTCAATCTTGTTGTTTGATCCACTTTTACAGCCTTATAAATTGGTGTATCTAAATACACCAGTTTAAAATGATTTGATATTTATCTGACTATATTTGCTATATTTGTTACTGTTTTCTATTTGTTGCTCTCATTCTTTATTCCTGTTACTATCTTCCACATTTTTTCTGCCTTTTGTGGTTTTGACAGCATATTACATGGTTTCATTTTTTTCCTTCCATAGCATAGGTTAAAAAATTTTATGACTTTTTTTTAGGGTCCCAGAGTTTACAGTATACATTTACAGCTAATACAAGTCCACTTTCAAATAACACTATATTAACTCTAGAGGTAGTACAGATGTATTGTAATAACAAAATATTTCTTAATTCCTCCCTTCCATCCCTTCCATCAGTGTTGTCATTCTTTTTACTTTTACCTAATCTTGTCTATTTACATAAGCATACTCAGGTACTTTGTTGCTATTATTGTTTTGAACAAATTGTTATGGATTAAGAATAAGAAAAGTGAAAGTTTTTATCTTCTCTTCCTTTATTCGTTCTCTGATGCTCTTCCTTTCTTTATGTGGAGCTGGGTTTCTGACCTATCTTACTGTCCTCCTTTCCGAAGAACTGCTTTTTAACATTACTTCTAAAGCAGGTCTGTTGGCAATTTTAGGTCCTCAATTTTAGCTTATATCTTTGATTTTTTGAAATTTGTATATGATATACCTGGTTGTAGTATTTTGGGCATTTATCCTGCTTGTTGTTCTAAGTTTCCTGGAGCTGTGGTTACTGTCTGATGTCAATTTGAGGAGATTCTGTCATTATTACTTAAAATATTGCATCTGTTCCTTTCTCCTGTCCTTATCCTCCTGTATTCTCATTACTTGTATGTTACTTACACCTTTTGTAGTCATCTCATGGTTTTTGGATAGTCTGTTCATTTCTTTTTTTAAGTTGTTTTTCTTTTTGTATTTTAGATTTGGAAATTTCTATCATCGCATTTTCAAGTTTAGTGATTCTTTACTCAGTCTATTAATGAACCCACAGGCATTCTTCATTTTTGTTCCTGTGTTTGATCTCTATCTAGCATTTTTTAAACTCCTTTTTAGAATTTTTCTGCTTATATTATCCATCTGTTCTTGCATGTTGTCTGCTTTTTTTCAATTTACATCCTTAATGTATTTTTTTTTAAAAAATCCTGATCTAATAATGTCAACATTTCTGTCAAATCTAACTCTGGTTCTGATGCTTGTTTAGTCTTTTCAAACTGTGTGTACCCTTTTTAAAACGCCTTGTAATTTTCTGTTGAAAGAGGAGTATAATGTACAGGTCGTCTCTAAATTTATGATGATTTGACTTAATTTTTCAACTTACGATGGCATGAAAACAACATACATTCAGTAGAAACTGTACTTCGGTTGTTGATGTGTCCTTGGCTAGTAATGTGCAGTATGATTCCATGTTGCTAGACAGTGGTGGCAAAGTCTCTGGGCAAAAATGACTTGTGTTTCACTTGACGGGTCTGGATTCCTGCTTTTCCTTCAGTTGTGGCCTGGGATTACTTACTTACTTAGTCTTGACAGCCTAAGTAAGTGCTGTTGCTGCTAGTGCTAAGTCGCTTCAGTCATGTCTGACTCTGTGTGACCCCATAGACGGCAGCTCACCAGGCTTCCCCGTCCCTGGGATTCTCCAGGCAAGAACACTGGAGTGGGTTGCTGTTTCCTTCTCCAGTGCATGAAAGTGAAAAGTGAAAGTGAAATCGCTCAGTTGTGTCTGACTCTTAGCGACCCCATGGACTGCCGCCCACCAGGCTCCTCCGTCCATGGGATTTTCCAGGCAAGAGTACTGGAATGGGAAGTGCTCTTAGTGTCTTACAAAAGATACAAAAAACATTTGTATTTAATTGCTTTTAGTGGAAAATTCGATCTGAAAACCATTAGCAGTCATTCCTAGAAGTACACATCATATTTTTTTTTAAAAAAAGCAATTTGAATGAGATTAGTAATCTAGTAGAAATGACTGTTTAAAGGAATCATTGGATATTTTTATATATTTGATGACTTTCTCAAGTTTCTAAGACATAATGTGAAAAATTATAATTCACTGAGTCATGTGATTTTATATATAATTTATACATAAATATATATTATATATAATATAATTACATATATTATATAATATATATATTTTATATATAATTCACATGAGTCATGTAATTCACTGAGTCAGTAAATTTCTGGCACATGAAGTTTATTATGAATTTGTTACTTACAGACTTACGGCCTGCATCAGACAATAAATCATTTACTTTTAGTGGGTTGAATAGGACTAGAATCTCATAGCCCCTCTTTTATATGTACATTTATCTTGTCAGTAAAGCTGTCTTGAATGTGCTTAAAGTAATGAAACCTTAGAAACCTAGTATTTCTGATTTTCTTTTCGTACCAGAGTGTTCTGGTATTGGTCACAATAAATCATAGTTTTGATCACAGTAAATCATAGTAATAAACACTTAGAAAAAACTTCTTAAACTTCCTTTTGTGTGTATGTTCCTTGAACTGACTTTCATACTGTGTGCTTGTTGCACACAGTTAACCCATAATTGCAACACAGTGTGGACTTTATAGTCTTTTAGAAAAATATTCATGTGATCTGTAAGTTTGGTATTAGCTTATCTGATAATGTTATTTTTGTTATCAAGTTCAGAGGGTAGAGGCTTCCCAGGTGGCTCAGTGGTAAGGAATCCACCCACAAATGCAGAAAAAACTGGTTCTATCCCCAAGATAGAAGATCCACTCTAGTATTCTTGCCTGGGAAATCCCATGGACAGAGAAACCTGGTGACCTATAGTCCATAGGGTTGCAAAAGATTTAAACACGATTTAGCGACTAAAGAAGAGCGTAGAGCTGGTCCAAAGAAGGATCCTTACTGGGTTGGCTGATAGCCAGCTGTTAGTTAAAAACTTAAGTTATTCAATGATGACCAGTCAAGCCCAGGATAAGAATGGTGCCCTCTTCTACCTTGTTGCTTTAGGCTTACTAATTTCAAATGCATAAATATTTGTTTAACCTGTTAAAAATATAAATTCACTGGTTCTGTTATGAAAATAATCATAAATGGATAATAGTTATAGTATTTAATCATAGTATAATCTACTTTACATTTTATATCTGCCTTTTTGTTTTTTCTTACAGTAGATCCAAGTGATTTGTACATTGTAGAACCCCTCAAGTTCTCTCCAGAAAAAAAGGTAATGCTTTGTTTCCTTTCAAGTGTATTGATGTGTTATGTGGATGTAGATGAAGAAATAGGTGAAAGTTTTACTATAACCGTTACTGGCCCTTAAACTTACTGTTTATTTTCAATTATGATAATGATTTGTTTACACGGTTGCAAACTGTGGCCCATAGGCCATATATGGCCTGTTATTTATTATGATCCTGGAACCGTGTTTAAAGGGTTATAAAATAAAAGGGAATATGTAGGAGAGAGAGTATGTGACTTGAAAAGCCTAAAATACTTACTGTCTGGCTTTTATAGAAAAAACTTGCTGACCCCTTGTTGATAGTCATTCTTTATTATCAGTGCACGTCAGGCAGTGTGTGTACCTATTCCTGTAATCCTCATATCATCCTGAAAATGATACTTTCCCCATTTTTTAAGTGAGAAAACTGAAACTCAGAATTTGTATCTTCTTTAAACGACCCATTAAAGAGGTGGCAAAAATCAAAATATAAGTAGGCTATTTTGGTTACAAAGTGTGGGCTTTTCCCATTTTGCCTCTGAAAGTAAGTTGTACTCATTAGAGGTCCAGGTAGCTCAGTGGTAAAGAATCTGCCTGCCAATGCAGGAGATACAGGTTCTAGCCCTGGGTCTGGAAGATCCCCCAGAGAAGGAAATGGCCACCCACTATAGTATTCTTGCCTGGAAATTCTCATGGAGTGAGGAGTCCATGAGGTCACAAAAGAGTCGGACACGACTTAACGACTAAGCAAACAACATTTGTCTCTAGACTAAAGAACTTGACCATTAAAACCAAATAGCCTAGGATTCAGTCCTAATCTGGCCACTTACTACCATGTAACTTGGACAGGGAATCAAACGTATAAACCTTGGTTTTCTCATCTGGTAGCCAAGGACAAAATTCTCACCTTTCAGGGTTAGTAAGATACACATGAAAGCAACTGGAAGACTATATGGCATATAATAAGCATTCAGATACCTAATCTATATTCAGAGGTGACAGATAAATGAAGAATTTGGTTGAGTAGTATTACAGAGTGGAAAGGTAATTATGGTAGTACCTGTATAGAACATAACACAGTGTGTTTTGCTGTTTATAGTACTTTCACTTTCCACCAGGAGGTGGCACTTTACTCCAGTAGCTCAGCTTTCTGAATGTTTGATTAGGTACCTATCGGAGGTCTAATTCCTACTCTTTCTTTTACTTGTGTTAAAGAAGAAACGCTGCAAGTACAAAACTGAAAAAATTGAGACCATAAAGCCAGCTGATCCATTGCACCCTGTAGCCAATGGAGACATAAAAGGAAGAAAGCCTTTTACAAACCAGAGAGATTTTTCTAATATGGGAGAAGTTTATCACTCTTCTTATAAGGGTCCTCCATCTGAAGGAAGCTCAGAAACTTCATCACAGTCAGAAGAGTCTTATTTTTGTGGCATTTCAGCTTGCACAAGTCTGTGCAATGGACAGTCCCAAAAGACAAAAACTGAGAAGAGGGCTTTGAAACGAAGGCGATCTAAAGTCCAAGACCAAGGAAAATTGATAAAAACTTTGATACAGACTAAGTCAGGATCACTGCCGAGCCTGCATGACATAATCAAAGGAAACAAAGAGATCACCGTGGGAACATTTGGTGTTACAGCAGTCTCGGGACATATCTAAAATTAATCGAACTTTTCATATTGGAGACTTCTTTGTTGTTCTTTGAAGAACAGTCTGTGGTATTTGAAGGGTATGGGGAGGGAGAAAATATTAATGGGAAAAGTATTCAGAAATTATGGTTTCTGCCTTTTTAAAAAGTAGGTGGGATTATGTCAATCTTGGTTAATGAGCTGCAGTTTTACAAGACTGATCACTTCCTACAAGGACAATGGTAGACATTTTATAAAGATGTTTTTTCACAGATTAATTAATTAATTACTGGGACAAAAGTAATTTGGAAGCCCAGTTCCTTGGGTGGGATAGGAATGAAAGCCTAAACCTCTTCCTTTAGCTTTGTTCCTATTTCTTGCACCTTCCCATATTTATGTGCCTTTTGTCTATTTATAATGCCACTGGAAGAGGAGGGAGAACTTTTTCTGTCATTTGATTTCTTTTATAACTTTGTTAGTTTTTTGAAGCTGCAAACACTACAAGGCTTTAAGTGATCTGCGCCTGGCGTTCAGTAAAGACAGTGTAAAGATCCTAAAGACTTGGCCAGGTAGACTTTTGTTTAGCAAACTCACCTGAAACAGACACTTAATGGAATTTTTCGGTCTATTTTTTTAGGTAAGTGGTGATACTTTTAATGTTATTTTCAGTTAACTTATTCACACTAATTTTCTTCGGTTACTAATTCAGTGAGAGGAAAAAAACTACATGATTTGTTTCTTCAAATGATTGGTATTTGCAAATAAATTTTTTTTGTAATAAATTCACGTGTTAAACACATTTAGCCACTTTAAGGGTTTCCTTTAGCTATGTTACATTTTAAACATTCACAATAAGCACTAATCCTCTTGACTTTGAGATCGTTGTTTTCTCTTACAAATGGAAAATTTGGAAGTTTGTCCAGTGAGTCCAGGCCTCATAATCACTGCCTATGTACATATGCACAGAACCAGCTAGTGAGTTTGTCAAGCCTTGTCTAATTGGTCAAGTCTAAAGGGATTATTACTCCTTGGTGTTTGCTTTGTATTGGCTACAAATGTTCAGATATACATGTGTGTTGTCAGTGTGTTTGTATTCAAATTTTGTCTCTTTTCTTTAAAAATAATTGGCAGTGACTTTGAATCAAATGATTTCTAAGTATGTGTTTATACAGTAATGGAGTAAAAGTGGAAAGTTTCTTTTTGAAAGGGAGAGAATTCATTGTTTTGTGTTGTAAGATTTAAGTTATAAGTTACTGAGCACTTTTAGTAATAACTGTTTTAAACTTGTCTAATACCTTATGGGGGTATTGTTCGTAATGTGACTTATTTAAAGCCTCTTTTGTTTGTTTAAGTTGCTGCTTTAGGTTAACAGTATGTTTTAGATGATTTACATTTTTTTCCAATCTGTACAATTAGCCATTCAGAGCAAGAGGGCCTGATTGTATAGAAACCCACTGAAAAGCGGTCCAGAAGAGAGCAGAGGTAGGGTGGGGAGTTACACCGCCTGTGTGCAGCGCCCAGGGTTGTGGAAAGATGACTTCCAATGATGTAACTACGGAGCTGTAGTGCCATTAGAAACTGTGAATTTCCAAATAAATCTGAACACTTGTCTTTATTAACTACTGGCTCTTCTGTTCTTTGAAGGAGAACGTACAAACTTAATACTCTGAACATAGATTCGTTTTTGTCACTTTTAAAATTAAATACAGCAGCATCTTGTTAAATACTTGATTACATTCAGCCAACTACAAACTGATCGAACTTTCACATAAATATTTTGTTCCCTATACAGTCAGAATTTCACCATTTCAAACACTGAAAGAGTTTTAAATATTCAGTGGACTACACATACATGCCTTTCTCTTACTAGGTGCCATCTCTAAGACTAATAATTTTTAAATTTTTTATATATATAAATATAGCACATTTTATAATTTGGGGTTTTTCCTCTCTGAGATTATATTTACATGAGGGATAAAAGCATAAAGTCTTGCCAATAATAGATTTGTGCCTAGTGAGAAGCAAATTATATGTGTGTGTGTGTGTGTGTGTAAAATAGGCTTTCAATGTTCCTTGGTAATCAGCTTCATTTTATTTCTTCTGATATTAAAAAAGCTTTAAAACAGTAAGAAGAAACCGAGGGATCTGTAAGAGCAAGAATACAAAGTAAAGAAGTCCTTTTAAATGGATTTTTTTTTCGGATAGAGTTATAAACTTTGAGGAATGAAATCATTTTATTAGGTAAGCCTTGCACAGAGAGGTAGCAGTTCTCTATACTCTGCCACTACACCACCCCCCCCCCACTCCCATGTTGCACCCTGACCTTTGCCAATCAAGGATTTCTTTCTCCCTAGCAGCAACTGTTTTCAGCACTGTATTGCCAGTCACTGTGCTTATTTTGCCACTTACTTGCCAGTTTTTGATGTGCCCCTAATTTGAATATATAAACTTGTCAGCATGAATATAAAGTAGATATAAATGTATATTTGTTACCCTAGTCAAACAAATTTAAAATCACAGTATAATAAGCAACATGTCCATTTGGAATTGTTTTAATTCTCCATTTTATAGAACAAAATCATAGAACAGAAGCATGAGACATGCCTCCAAACAATACAACAGTGATGGCTTTCTTAAGCTCCCTTTACACCCTGATTTTTCTTATCCCATTCCCAAATCACTTTTCTTTCACTAAAAGGAAAGTTCTGTTTGCTATAGGGGAGGGGAAAAACTGACACTCTCCAAATAACTTTTTCAAATAAACCTTATTTTTTGCTAGGGCAAAGACAATGCTTCCTGTCTTTGTCCTTGACTTCCAGGAGTGGCTGAAAGATGGACTTCCCTTTTACCATTTCAACTCAACACCCTTAAAAGTCAACAGCTACAGGAGAGGAATCACGATGGCGGAGGAGTAGGACATGGACCTTACCTCCTCCCACAAATACAGCAAAAGCACATCTATGAGTGGCATGGTTCACACTGAACATCTACTGAATGCTGATAGAAGACCTCAGACTTCCAAAAGGCAAAAAAACTTTCATGTAACAAGGTAGGACAAAAAAAAAGAGGGAGAAAGGAATCGGGACAGGATCTGCACCCCAGGGAGGGAGATGTGAAGGAAGAAAGGTTCCCCAACCCTCGGAAGTCCCATCACCTGCAGGGAGATCAGCCTAGATGGAGGGGGAGCTTCAGAGCCTTGGAGGAAGAGTGCAACAACTGGTTATAGTGGAAGGACCTGCACAGATGGTTCATACCTCTGCCCTGTGCACCCTGGCTGACATGCTCATCTATTTGTGTGGTGAGGCTCGGTGCCAAAGCTCAGGCTTCAGAGTCAGACCCAGGGAGAGAGGGATTGGCAGTGTAGAGACAGCCTGAAGAGGCTGGAGAGTGGCAACTAAGCATGCACTCAGAAGAGGCAGGGGCCTGCCAGAGAGGTAAGATACCATTGTTGGGTGGGGGGCACGTTAGAGGAAGGGCAGGACCACCATAGGAACTTTGTTTCCTGTACCTGGGCTCTCAGGCAACAAGACACCACCTAACATGAGCTCTGGGGCTAGGTGCAAGCTGCTGTCATCGTTATGAGAGATGAGCACAGGCCACTCCCATAACTAGGGACCCATGAGCAGGCACCAGTTGCTCTCCTTGGGAGTAGGCAGGCTGTCACTGCTACTGAGAGACACAGGAGCAAGTGCCAACTGCTCTGCTCACCCTGCTGTCCCGGGACCTCATGGACACTGCTGCCCCTGGGAGGCCTAGGAGGGGGTCCTGATCACGGTCCCTGCTGACTGGGAGTGTGTATGGGCCTTTGTGCATTGTGCTTGCACACCAAATACCAAGGCAATAACAGCAAGCACACACTGCCAAAAAAGACAGCAAGCATCCAAACTAAAAGCGGTCTTTCAATTCCAGACAAGGTGGCAGGAGTAGAAGGACTTGCACTTACCTCCTCTCAGAAAAACACCATCGCAAATAACTGCTTAAAGACCGTTGGCAAAAAAGACTGGAACCTACCAAAAAAGATACTTTACATCCAAAGACGAGGTCTCAATATGATGGTAGGAGGGGCCCTTTCACTGTGTGATTTTATCACAGAGGTTCTCTCCAGGAGTGAGATCTGAGCCCCATATCAGTATCCCGAACCTGAGGGCCTGGCATCAGGATGAGGAGCCCCCAGAGCATCGGCTTTGCAGGCCAGTGGGGCTTGAGTGCAGGAGCTCCACTCCTGGAGGGTACACACAAGATTTCACATGCACTAGGACCCAGGGCAAAGCAATGACTCCATTGGAGCCAGAACTATATATATAGGGGCTTTCCTGGTAGCATAGTGGTACAAAATCTGCCCACCAGTGCTGGACATATGGGTTCGATCACTGGGTCAGAAAGATCCCCTGGAGAAAGAAATGGAAATCCACCTCAGTATTCTTCCCTGGGAATTCCCATGGACAGAGAAGCTTGGTGGGCCACAAAGAGTTGGACACGAATAAGTTTGGCCTTGGTACAAAATGAAACAGGGCAAAGGCTAACAGTTTTGCCAGGAGAACACACTGATCATAGCAAACACCCTCTTCCAACAACACAAGAGACTACTCTACACATGGGTAACAACATATGGTCAACACCAGATTGATTATATATTTTACAACAGAATTTGGAGAAGCTCCATACACAGCAAAAAAGCAAAAACAAGACCTGTGGAGCAGACTGTGGCTCAGATCATGAACTTCTTATTGGAAAATTCAGGCTTAAACTGAAGAAAGTAGGGAAAACCACCAGACCATTCCAAGTATGACCTAAATCAAATCCCTAACTATACAGTGGGGGTGGTGAATAGAGTGCCTAAAGAACTATGAATGGAGGTTTGTAACTTATAGGAGGTGGTGACCAAAACCATCCCACAGAAAGAGAAATCCAAGAAGGCAGTGTTTGTCTGAGGAGACTTTACAAATAGCTGAGAAAAGAAGTGAAAGGCAAGGGTGAAGGGGAAAGATATACCCACTTGAATGCAAAGTCCCAGGGAATAGCAAGGAGAGA